AAATGTATAACAATTTTTGTATAAGCAATATAGCAATAGTTTGGAATATCTAATAACGAAGGGTTGGTAGAGGTTAGTGGGGGGTAGAAAGGGCTAATGTATGGTAGCATAAGCAATGAGAAATATTGGATAGTCAGAAAAAATGTGTATATTCAAAATGTATATGAAACAATTATGGAAAAAGACGATGATATGAAAAATATTTTTGATGAAATCTATCCAGGAACGACTCTGCCTCTGTCAATCGTATGCTAATCTATTATACCGTAAATACAAACATGTAAATTGAAATTTCCCGATGTTAGTCTACACGAAGCGTTCGGCGTGTTTATTTTAATTTCGACTCGATTTTTTACGGGTTTTCGTTCCATAAACGCGAATTACCTTCCATTCTTCATAATCACAAGCGCCGCATTCGCTCTACATCGGACGCTCGGTAATGTTATGAATTTCCTAAAATTGAACTTCCGCTATGGCACTTCCATAAATTCACTCTTTCAAAACGGTCGGAATTTCGACAAAAATTAACGTTTATGTTCAATTATGCCATTAAAACGAATTTTATAGTGGAACATTTGCAAGAGCGGATGCAATTCATCTCTTTATCTGGCATCGTCCTATGTATTTTATTGCCAAACATTATTTTCTCAGAAGAAATGAATTTTTTCTATGAAGGGTTTCATTCTCTTAGTTTCTTATTAAATTTTGCTCAAAAAATAATAAAATGTAAATTTACAAATCAAACAAAGCCATTTTGGCTTTTATTGTCCCGGAATACAAATAATTTTCTAATGTCCATACTTTCTTTCTATATACCTTCTACTAAGCAAGTTTTTTGAATAAAAGTTTAAGTATGCATATATTATGGAAAATATTATTATTATTTGCAGGTGTAGATATTCCTCCATTCTCTAGATTGTACCTCATAGTCAGTAACACTCACACATGCTGCACAAGAATGTAGCAGACAGGATTTTGTTATGCACAAAGCTCCATATTGGAAAATGTTGGCGTAACGTTCATACTAGCTTGCTTATCCTGTCGGTTTGAATTCAACGTTAATCTATATCTCGATTCGCAGGAAACAGCCGGTTTCAATACGCCGGAAACATCCACATACATAATACCTGGTGGAAACGATGGCGCCCTGTCGGTCCGGCTACGATGGCAATTTATCCCTGTTTACATTATAGTTATATCGAGGCGAGGGAAAAATGATAAACGTCTCTGCTTCCAGGCAAATTGTTCATTTTCTATTTTGACTGCTTTGTGCGCGAAACACAATGAGCCGACCACAAAAGGTAGATAAAATACCGCCTAAATATCGAATAGGGAGCAAACGAGACGAAAGCAACTCGCTTTATACTGTATACCCGAGACATTTTTGTTTGCGGAACGGTTTAACTCCGTCTTTGAGGAATTTTCAATACCGACGGCACCATCGGCGAAGTAAATATTCCCCAGCGACTGCCTTATTAACGTTATTTATTTTTTATTCTATATTGGGAGAACATATTTAAAATAAACGTTTCTATCGATCTAATTGACATTAAGCGAGTTTCGAAAACACGAATTTATTCTGGATTTTTCCGGCCAGCAAAGTAATCATGTTTGATAGTTGGTATTTTTTGAAGCCGATGCCAGACACGGATATATCGACCGCGTCGCAATGAGGTTCATCGAGGAGCATTCTCTAATCGAAATGTACCTAGCTATACGAGGCGGCGCCGGCCAATAAATCGCAGCTATCCCGTTAAACCAATTAAGTCGAACGGGATTTCTGAATGCCCCGAGAATTATCTTTGAACGCCATCGACCATCAACGGCCAGATAACCTAATGAGAAATGCCTGGATGCTGCACGCCTGACCAATCTTGTTCATGTGAAGATGGCTTTGGGACAACCAATACATAATGTACCACTGCAATATCCTTTAAATGAACATATAATAGGTTTGTTTTCTATGTACCTATAATACCTAATAATACTAACTATAGTGTCTAATAAAAAATCTAAGTTTGGATAAAGGGCTAGAAAGGGGGATTCGGAAAATAGAGCGTTAAATGGTAAATGGATGGTAAATAAAGATAATGTTTATAAATCATTAATATCTAGTTTTATATTAACAATAACAATACTTTCAGCAAGTTAGTTTGAAACGTATACTTTTAGTGTTTAATTACTCCATCTAAAGTTTATACCCAAAACCTAGTTATGTTTAAAGCAAATAGGTTTACAAAGTAAATCCACGGGACCAAAACAAACTTTAAAATAAATTTCGCCGGGATGAAAATTGACCTAATACCACTTTTCCATTCAACAAGTGCGTTAGTCAAGAGAGGGTTAATGGAAACCCGCTGAGCTATTTGTTCTGTAAACATCACGATTTAAGGGAACAATTCCTCTCCCTAAGATATGCATATAGGAAGGAGATGGTTAGGCGTTCGGGAATTCGCGTTAGACGAAGAACAAAAAATCGCCGCCATTGTACCGCTAAGCTCGAAAGAAACACCTGTAAATAACTGGAACCTAAATAATTATACGAGTCGGGCATAAAGTCAAATGAACAAGAAGAAAACGCTCCTTTATTAAGAAATTTACATTTCAATTGGAGTCGTTTCGAAGAGGGGCCGCTTCTGACATTCCTCATAATTACGCGGCATTAATAATTTCCATGGCGCAATCGGAGATAACTCCGGCAAAAAGCTGACTCCGTGGAAGTTTCCAAAGTTAATTTTAGCATGTTCACCTCTTTCTTCCCTGAAATTGTTCGTCGAGTAAACGAGAACGGCGAGAATTAAAGAAGCCCGTCGATGTTAACATCCTTGAATAAGGTGACTACGTAAACATTATGTTGTGAGTTAGAAGGCGATGGATACATTGAATTCAACGATGGTAAACGATGCGGAATATAATTAAATTTATTAATTAACAGTTATTTACCTTGCCTTTTCATTTAAAATAAGAAATTTTGAAAGATTTTAGCCTTATTTAAGAAGGACTTTTTAGTGAATTTATTAACAAAAAATAGAAAAAATGCACTTAATTGTCAAATGGTCAAATTAAAAAATTTCCCAGCACAATTAAGAAAAATTATTAAAACATATTCTTATAAGAATTTGTTTAAAAATCATTAAAAAATCTTGAATAAAAAATATACTAAACCACATAAAAACCTTCAAACTCTCATTCCCCTCGTCTTTACTGCGTGCATTACTAAAATCAAACTTTCACCCCTTAGGCGTTGAAAATTTTAAAAGCTTTCCCCGCTCTTTTTACACCTTTTTCAAACCCCTGCAGCAACCGTTTTCCAATATACTCAGCAGTGTTTTCTATTACTGAAAGGCATAACTCACCGGACAATAAGCGTTCGAATAACCCGCATAAAACCCCGATAAAAATCACCGGAAGATTCGGTATCGGGTCGAGCCGTCGCGGATTGTTTCGCTCCGAAGATCCATAAAAAATTATTGCCCTACTAATAGCGGAAAATGATCCGTTAACCAATAGGAATTTTATTATCCCTCGGGGTCGAAATCCCGTCTACCCCATTCGATCATCGACGTTAAATCTGGCATAGTTACCGTCGAACACGACATACAGTATACTAAAAGAGGTTTAGGATGGCAGTAAAATATCATAAATTTGTTGGCGAAAAGATGCTTTGGGTTACAGGTTGAATGAAATTTGATACTTAATTGCTTAGATGCCGATAGGAAAGGTAACTTGTAACAACGAAATAATTTTAATTAAAACATTTTTGTAATTAAATTCCGATCAGTAAACAAATCTCCAGGCAACGCACGCCAGTCCGTAAAATACTTTTCAATTTTATGATTTATGGAGCCGGCGAAGGTCGGGATTTTAACCTCGTCATGAAGATGCAAACTAAATTGATAGGAAAATTTCCCTGGAGTATATTGATTAATGGGTTTTTTTAATGCGGCTCCCGTAATAGGGCAGCCCGCTTAATAATTCATCGAGACTTTATTTTTATCTAATCGTTCTTTGCGAGCTATATTTTTACCTACCGATGTGTAGCTAATATCGATCAAATTTCCCGCTGTTGGGAAACGTCGAGTGCGTCTCGAAGTTAACGAGCAGCTTGGATTCGGCCATTAGTCGACTAAAAATCGAACTCCGTAAAACTATATGCGGTGTTTTTATTATCCTACTAGTATAAAAGTTTTAGACAGAATGTTACCGGAATAATAAAGCAACAGTTTGATGTTAGGAACGTCTATTCTTCGACAACAATACGTAGGATTTCTTGTGTTTTTACTCTAAATATTTATTCATTTTTTCGCATTATTTTGTAGCTCTCTGTGTGGGTAAATAATTTTCAAAGCTTGTTATATTTCCGGGAGTCAAAGGGAGCAACCCAAACGGAAAAGAAGGGATTTACCAAAGCAGAAAACGTATAATTGTTTGACGTCGTTCGAAATCTGTTCAGCTAGTCGCTCGTCGTTGTTTGATTTAGAGCATATAAATATTAAAGTTGGATTAATCCGCTTAAATCATTTTAAGATACTGCGAAATTTATTACGCTGGATTTGAGTCGGTTTGATACAGAAAATTTAGCGCCATGAATATGTATAGAACAAGTTAGTTAAAGTGATTTCGAATGAAATTCTCGGCGAATATTAAGTTTAAACGTATTCGTATGAAGGGATCATATACTGGATAAAATATCGTAGATACATTGTATTTTAACATTTTTTGGTGTTATTTCAGGTTAAATTTGTATGTATATGGTGTGTTTTTTCGTTTCATTAAAGCGGGAGTATTTTCGAATGTTTGTACAGGATTCATTTGTACAGTACATTTTTAGTTTTTTTGCGTATTTTTGATTCTCACGGGCGTTTACTTTTAAATAGTCCGATCCCCATATATCGATGAAATCGTTATTTATAAATATTAATGGATTCGTTTTTAAATAAATTCCCAATATATTTTTTTATTTCTAATTTTATCTAACTCTACTATTTAAAAGTACTTACCTCCAATTCGTCCGATATACTAGCCATTACAATAACTGAAAAAAATACAGTAATTAATTAATTTTATTATATTGACGTTTAATTGAAGAAAAATAAACAAAGATCCCACCACTTACATTCGATGAAAGACTTGAAATCCCGGTTGATATTTTTTAGCAAAAAAATCATGAACAATTATTAGAAATTTACTGCAATCGGGATTAGTAGATTTTCCCAAATTGACAGCCCACCGGGGAAATTCTTTCGCTTAATAAACTTTATAGGTCACTGTTCGATTTCTCGAATGAAATGGCTCACTGGCTATTAGGTCCTTTAACTACTTTTAATAGAGCCATACATACCTACTCGGAGGCGAGTCGATCCGAAATGAATTGTTTCCGATTAAAGAAGTAATTGACTTCGTTAATGGAAAATCGCCAATTCCGCCGGAACAAGTGGAATAACCTAATTTTCCGGTTATATCTATGGCGCGATGGTATAACGGGAAGCGGCGCGATGACGTTAGCTATAATTTTATTTTCTTTTTTCCCTATGTAATCGCATTTAAAAATTTATACCAGTTTGATTTATCTACCTAATAGATTTACTCTTTTCAGCTTTTGTAAAAATCCACGATCTTTTGCGGATATCATTATAACTCGCGAGAGAACTTTTACATGTTTTTAACTGACATGACTTTCAAATTTGAACCTTATTCAATTGCCTTCTCAATACAAAATTTTAAAGCTTCATTTTAACCAAGCGGAAATTTGAATTCCGTTACCTTAAAGGACTATATTTCAACGGACGTCTACTTTACACGTTTTAGCTTCTAAACGTGTCAAGGAGATGTCTTTACACGCGAATTAAGAGCTACTAACTCGGCTTGATTACATATAGTGGGTGGAATAAATTTTATATGTTGCAAACTAATTTGTGTCGTAAGGGATCTAAATCGGAATCGCGAAGGCTACGGTGTAGAAGGGCCGTATTGAAAATATTTCCAACCAAGCCTTAATGCTTACGTTAAAATAACGTAACGCTATTTCATTGTAATACTTTATTTAAAAGCGTATTCGAGAAAAATACATTATTTTAGTACGCATCTCTTGAAATTCCCATTTTAAAAGCAATTAGCATGTTTCGTTTATTCTAATTCAAAAAATAAATGAAGCATAGCAAGTCGAACTGCGGTTTTGTTCGGATTACATGGGAATCGAATTTGACGGTTTTGTATCCTGTAGTGAAACCCGACGTTCCAGAGGGTCCCGCTTTTCATCTGGCTTGCGTGCAGTCATCCAGGAAACAACGTTAATTGCCTGTCTTGTCGTTCAGACGTCGCTCGAAGTAGGAAAAGAAAATGAACGATGAAAAAGGAAAAGCAATTGGACGATCTCGGGATATTAATTTTATGGAGTGTGAAAATGTCAGATTTATTATCCAGCGTAACAAGTTGTCGTAATTATGTAAATTAAGATTTATGTATATGATAATTAATGCAGTTGTATATACGCATGTTTTTTAGCGACTATAGGTAATTCGTAAAGAATGCTCACCCCAAATTTTTCACTTGAATTTCTTAAGAATCTGAAGCATTTCTAAATAAAATTGCTTTCGTTTTCCCCCATTTAATTTTTCTTATTATAAATTCGAAGGAACGTTTTACGTTCCAAATAGCACGTTGTGTATTCGAGAATGTCGCGTTGTAACTCCATAAAATTATTATTCGTTGTGTACAAGATATTGCGACCGATATTTCTTCATTTTTGTAGCGTTACGACGTGGCAACCATCGAGATTAGATCGGAAAATGAAGATTACATTTCTGGGTTGTTTTAGCCGGCAAAACCGGGGAGAAATGCGCCACATTTTGTAGACCGGTGAGCCATTTCATGTTCCTAAAATTGTTGTTAATAAATCGCAATGTTAAACATCTTATTAACATCTATAATATTTATTTATTACCTACATATTATTTATATAAATTTACGTAAAATTACGTTGACGCTATATTGACGTACTTGAAAATTGTCAATAGATACTTTAGATTTATACTGCCTATTTTTGAAAATTATTAAATACGTATATCAAATATTTATTTTATATCTATTATTTGCGGTTAGAAAGGCAAACTCTTTCAACTGGTCTAAATCTCAATATAACGCGAATGGGGCGAGAATTAGAATGGGATCTTTTATTACGTTTTTATTATTCTACACTTGTTGTCGCGGAAGTTCATTAAATAAATATGTAAATTAATTCTTTTGGTGAAACGACCGCGTGACGACGACTCGTGAATTAAAAATTCCCGTGAATTCGCCGAGTATTTTTTTTTCTTTTTTTATCGAAGTGCTTAATTACGTTATTGCAGTTCTTCTTTTACTTCTTTTCTTACCAGTGCGAATTATATACTTAAAAAGATAAAAAAATGGCGAATAAAAGTATATTTTAAGGATCTTGAGATAGGGGAATTTATCCGAACTTTTTGTCTTAAGTCTAAAGAAGAAATTATCAGGAGAAGGTGATTTTAACAAGTTGTTCTTGTTATTATGCATATAAACATGTTTTCTATGGAGGTTCTTAATACCTACTGCTATATTAAAACTTTCGCTAACAGTTGAATATTTTTTAGATGTTCTTAGAAAAAACTATTAAAATTAGCAAAATAACGAATAATGGCTGTATTTCTAGCAAACAAAGGAACCTAAAACTCAATGAAAACGTGATATCAAAGTTAATATTTCTGTGTGTTTGTAATCGGGTTTCTCCTGCCCAAAACAGAATTAATACAGCGCTCGACGATCCGTCCCTTATGGGGAAAGAGGGACCAGCGCTTCCGAAAATATCGGTCCTGGTCGGGAAATATCTGATGGATATCTGTATGAGGGTGGCCATACACGCGGAACCTAATTAACAAGGTCGGCTGGAAATTATCTTATTACGATGCCGGCGATAGGAATGATTTTCCTTTAATCGCATCGCCTATCTGCGAATAACGCTTTAATTTGGCGCTCACCTGCGCAATTTTCAGCATGAAAAAGTAAGATTTTAATCTCGCTTTATCCGTATGGCTAAAAGGAAATTTATTGTAAATGAACGCAGCGTAAATATTTCCGGACAAAGCAACTTTTCAGTTTACATATTTTATTTTACCCCGTACGAATTTTCCTTTATCTCTTTGTGTAGCTAAAATATACGGGTAGGTTCCGTTTTATTTGGACCATTTTTTTACAACAAGTTGAAAATATTATGCGCAATCTATATGACTTAAATTCAAGGAAAAATTCAGCATTAAAGATTAAAACGTAAAGATCGTTTAAGAGATACTAAATTTTTCTTCGTTTCCTCGATGGAAAACTATAAAATTTTCAACACAACCTACATTTAATAGAATTTATGAAATAGCAACGTTCGAAACGAGCTTTTAAGATTAAACGAATTTCCGTTATCTCTATCAAGAAGTGGCACTCTTATTGATCTTCGTTGCATCTAACTTCAAGATAAATCATTTTCCAATTTATTTTCCGCTTGTAAGAAAACTCCAAAAATATTTATTTTCCTCCAATTCGCGCATTATTCTTCGGCTAACGGGGGACGCGGGAAACAATAAAAATTGTACGTCTCGGAAATTATTTCAAGGAGCAATAAGTAGTTTAGTTGGAATTTATTGTGCAGTCTAAAGTGCGAGGGCTATGTATTTTCAGTAGCACGGCTTTCTTTTTGGCTTACTGTCGAGGAAAATTAGTTTATGCGGCTGTGGGTTTTAAATTCAACAACTTATTTCGGAATGAAATAGCCTAGGTACCCCGGTGAATTAAGTTTCTAAATGAAATTTTCGGATTATAAATAGTTTTTGCTTATTTACGTGGGTAAATGTAGCGTTTGATGTATACTTTTTGATACTTCAGTTAAGTTTAAATTTGTGAAAATTGGGTAGAATGAATAAGATGAAACAAAAATGGAAGTTGTAAGAGAATCGTGCGAAGAAACAAGATTTTTTGGGCTTGTCTCCACTCCACAAAGACGCCGTTTTTATCGATACGGTTTCTCCAAAGATCTTGCATTATTCAATAATATAGCGTTTCGCATAAGCCCCGTCAGACGGCCAATTACGCTAAGCCCTCGTTCATGTAAGTATCTCTTAAGCGCTTAATGCCTTCTAAGTTTCTCAGCGAATTTCCGAAAGACGGGTTTTTTCCTATTGTGTTTCGTTTCGAGTGAGGAAAGTTGATGTGAAATGAAGAGTATTATCAGAAAAGGTCTTTTTCATTTTTCGTAATGCTGGTTGGGGTGGTATTCGTTAAACTCCGGAATTCTATAGGTTTTATTAATAGAGTAATTCAATTGAACTTCATTTTATATTTATTAAGAAGACAGAAAATGCTCGTTAAGAGGAGTTTATAAATGTACACTTTACAGTAATCGCTTAATCAAGATTTAATTGAGAAAAAAAATGAGGTTTTGTTTTATTTAAGAGAAAATGCGGAATCCTCATCTTCGTGTTTTTTATCGCGACTGAAATACTGCGGAAATTTAATCTTTATTATCTGATTTAATCCAATGTTTACGATGTCGTAATGCGACAAAAATGAAAAAAAATCTTGTAAACATGGAATAATAATTTTATGGAGTTCCTCGACGTTCTCCGATAAGATCTTATTAGTTGGGGCCTTGCAATAATGTTTAATAAAGAAAATTAAAAGAGAGGCAAATAAACTTTGTACAAGTAATAAGTAATTTACGAATTCTTAAGATTGTTGAGATTTAATAAAGAACAAATTAAATAAATAATTATTGAGAATAATAGAATTTACTCTACTATAAAATATTTTATCACTCCGTGTATAACCCGAGGCTGAATTCGTATTCGTTTTATTGCGCTTATATTCAAATATTATCTATACCAAAGAAAACAGAGGATGAAAATGTATTTCCCATTATGCCGGTTAATGCAACGTGAAATCTGAGCTTTTGCTTCTGTAAAGGAGCAAGCAGCGTTGTCTATCTCTCTATCTTTTAATATTTACTTTAATCACTAAAGCTGTAATGTAAATACGTTACCATATGACGAGATCTGCTCCGAATGTAATCCAATTTATTGAAGATATTTAAAATACGTTGCAACAAATTTACCGAGAGCAATATTTTCTTTCAACTAAACTAATAGTAAAAATAAAATCCGTATAATTTTGTATCTAAATGCATAACAACTCTATAGCAATTGCAACCATTTATGTATTCACATTTATATTCATGAACCTTAAAATCCCCCAGCCCCTTATTTCCTCTAAAAAATATACCTATTCACTCATTTTATTTTGCACTAGTTTGTATAAAAAATACATTGCATTTCGCCCAGGAAGCACATTTCGCTTTAAACTCGCGCATTTCCACATCGAAAAATGCAATGAAAAAATTTATTTCCCTACATAAAAAACATTCGTAAATTACCTTTAGCGATGCAAATCAACATCGAAATGACCAGCGTTACTCTCATTAGCTCGGACATGTTTAGAAGAATCGGCTTCAGCTGGAAAGGAGAAAATTCAAAGCGATCGCGACGAGTAAAGTCACATTTCCATAAAGCTTCGACTACTTTGTCGAAGTCAACAAAGCGCGTGTTGAATTCTCAAGGCAGCGATTCGCAAACGGTCGACGAGCGAGCGCAGCGCGTAGTCAACTGAAAACTCCTGAAATCTGAAAGCGTGAAACTCCGAAAGTATATTGGACGTCGGCGTCGCGATGCGTCGTTAGAAGCGCCGCGACGACCTCGTCACAACGCACTGGTTTGTTTTTATTTATTTTAGTTGGGTAAAGTCGGTTTTTTATCGAAGGGTGGTCCAGTTTTTTAGGCCAATTTTTACAGCGCCATTTTAGCACTTTCGCAGCATTTCACCATAAAGTACCGCAGTTATAACGTAACTTACAATTGGTAATTTTGTAATAAACATCTTTGTTAAAATTTATTTGAAGAAAACTAGAAATCTATTTAATATGCACAATGTGAAAAGCGAATAAGTACAATGTAAATACATTCATATGTACATTTAATTAACATTGTAAATAAAACTTATTAATATAATTTCTATTACCCTTTTGGTTTGATAAACGCTGTAATTACATATTTTAGCAAATGACACAAAGGGAAAGTAAAATAATATTATCGTCAAGTTGTGCTTTTCCGCCTTTCCTGACAATAAAGGCCTTTGTCGCGCTCCCTTAAAGGCATTTTTCATTAATTCAATTGGAAATTTCGTCAGAACAATTAACTTAAAGCGTTTTTCGACTGAAAGTAGAAATAAATTATAAAGGATTTACAAGGTGGTTCACGAGGGAAGGAAAATAGCAGGAATAATTTCAAAGATTACAATTTTAACTGTACTTTCCATTGCAATTATAATTATTATTGTTCCATTTGAAATTCCGTAAATGTTAAATAGAAAAATAGCGTGTAACGATGTCTTTGGAAAATTCAGAACTGTTTGTAATTTTGGCGCAACTTCTAGAGGGTGCAATCTGAGCTATACACTCCACGTAATTCTGTTACCTTCATATTATGCGCTCAGTGCGAAGAAAATCCGTTCGTATAAAAGCCTAATCGAAACGGAATTTTCATCCCCCGGAGTTATTAAGTTGAATGTTCATTTCCTCCGGGGGAACGACGAGGCTGTACAATAACAGTATTTCTGACGTAAATTCGACTTTTAAATTTAGACCGATATAGCTTAATCGGCATCGACGATTAAGTTAGACTTTACGATTGGGAGTGTATTTGGGATATATTGGGATAAATGGCTTATTTTATTTTATTATTTTTGTACATTAGTCTCAAATTTATTTAGAATTCATTAGAATAACTTTTATACTAATAATTCGGTGCCGGTCTCCACCATAATTTATTATACACCTTGATTCACTTCAGTTTGCAATGGTCATGTCTATAAGTTGAACAAAGAATGATTATTAAAATGACAGTTGTTAGAGTGAAAAGTTATACGCATTGAAGGGTCAATTTTCCAAATACCTAAGTTTCCATAGACCGCATACTAAACCAGATGCGTTGGGGTAGACCGCATACTAGACCGGCACCAAAGATGTTTATTAACACTGTAATAAAAGCAATATTACAAAAAAATATAATAGTAATAGGGTTTGTAATCCCATCTTTCAGGCGGGTCCTGTGGGAGATATGGCATTGCAGGAGCATTCTATTGAGTAGTTAGCTTAAATTCTACATTCAACGGGCAGATGGCAGAGTTTCTCAAAAATAAATCGGAGCCATTGGGATGTCAAAAAGTGTATATAACAGTAGATATTATATTATTACTTTGGTTTCTAAAAGCTTTCTAAACATTTACATCGGTAGAAAATGTATATACACTCATTTTTTAAAATAATTAGGTACATTATTTAATACTTAAATATCTTAGACAAAATGACATCATCTCATTATTTTTAGTAATTTAAAAAGTATAATAGACGCTTAAATTTTTATTTCAAAAATTTGCTGAGGTAACACGTTCATTGCAACATCTTCAAAAATACTTTATTTAGAAGCATTTCGAAATACTATTTCGTTACTTCTAATAAATAATAAATAGAATTGAATAAGTTCTTTTAATCGGTCCACTGATTGCTATTCTACACAATTAACGTTTAATCAAGAGGGTACAGTAGTAGGTAAATGGTGACGCATTAGAGACCATCGAATCAAATGATGCTTCCTATATTGATACCCAGCAGGTACTCAATTAATTGGTACATTGCAGTTGATTTTTTACTTAGTTTTGTAATATCACCTACAAAAAGTATCCACTTACTTTTCCAATATTATTATTATGCAGCATTACAAGATTTTTTTACCAATTTTCGTCACTTTCTTTTAATTAAATGAAATATAATATACAATACATTTAGATAACGAAAACGATTATACAGATTCAACGATATGATACGATCAATGATATGTGCTAAGGTTATATTAGTTCCATTTTTTCAATCTCTTTATGTCCGCAAATATTCGGACACCAATTCTGGATATTTCTGTGGATGTTCTAGGAAAGTACATAAATTTATCATTCCTCTCTCTATCAGTTAATGGATCAGTAAACCAACCATACCTAAATAGAACACATAACATTTTTATTAGACAAACGGCCATTTATAATTCATCTGCTCTATAGGTATTGAATAGAATTACACTAAATGTTTTTTATATAACCAAATAATTATTGTTGTTTAGTAAATTAAAAATATTATATATCTCTGATGAAGTAACATGCATTTTTGTTCATTGACAATTAGTAAAGAACTTCACGTATTGGAAAACAAATAATCTCACCATATAGTGTTTCTCCTGTTGTTATTCAACGCTCTAAAACGCTCTTTTTTCTTTTGACAAAAAAAATGATACGTACCACTGATTTTCTGATTCAGGCCATTCCTGTTTAACCTTCGGAGGGGCTTTAGACAATTTCAGGCCATCTAGGAGTTCTGGATCAGCATCATACGCACCGGCTTCGTGCCTGCTAAATACTTTCGACGACAACGGAGGGGCTAAAATAACCCTTGCATGAATTAATTAATTGCTTACCAATTAAAGAGTAAATATTACCTACTGTACTAACTTATTGTTTTTAAATTTAACTATGTTTTTGCGATCTTACATTTATAATTAGGTCTATATTTGTCGTAGACTTGCCAATATTTCGTTTCGAAGTCGCATTTGATTCTATAAATTTTATCGGTTCTTTCTTGCTTCAAAAAGTCCTGCATACTTATGTATTTTCAAAACGATTCCATTCCTAAAAATAGTTGTGTTAAAACGTCTGGACGTTGTCAAAATTTTCGGTTTTAACCAGCTGCGCCAACATGAATGTAATTTAGGAAGTAACTAATAAATTTATGACCGAAAACTCCAATTTTTTACAACGACGCCATTTTTAATGTGCTTTTGATTGATTTAACGAAGTGGATACTCGGAAAACCAAACCGCTTTTTTAAATAGAATGTTTTTGACAGTACCAGTGAAAATTTATAATTCCATCCTTATGTATCATGCACATGTCTCTTCACCGCTACTTTTAAAGAAATTATTTGTCAAGTGTAGAGAGCTATTTTGTGTTCAGTTTGATATAGAGACCACAACTTGCGACAGCAGCATGAAAATTTATTGCAATGGAAATATTTACGCTTCATTATTATTGCATATAAAATATTAAACTTGCGCGAGGTGTTTCCGATAGGGGAACGTTTTAATATACCGGCTGTATCTAGTCGAAAATAAGTTTATTTATAATTGATCAGTTTGAAAACTTTCTAACTAAATTTCTCCGTAGTTACTTTAAATTTATAATAATAATTCCAAATAGATTGACAATTCAGAATGTATGGTAATATTCTTTAGTTAATTATAGCATATTATACAAATCTTTACTTAAAGACTTAATATAACTCGTTATGAAAATCCAATTAGCGGATTATTTCAGTTTCGAGCACGAACCGAGTTCGGAGAATCTTCGATAAATTTATCTATTACACAAACCAATTTTAATTAACTCTTTTACATATTAGCGTTTTTGTGAAAATATAATTATTAGATACTAGTGATGTAAACCTAGAAAGAGGTTCATTGAAATTCAAATATAAAATGAAGTCTTTAGATTTATAAAATTACCTACTTCAAGGCATGCTTAGGCGCGTTTAAAACATGAAATCCAATGTTGGCCAAAAACAATTTATCAAATTACTCTGGAGAATAATCCTAAAGAATTTAATAAAGATGACGATTTTTTCGCTAAATTGAATTTGTAGAAAGTGATATTTTTGGAAGGTAATTGCAGTTAGGGAGATACGTTAAAAGCGACAGTAAAATTCCTTATTATGAAAAAGATGAATCATTCCAAATGTTGCCAACAAAAAGAGAGAAATGAAATTAGGTTTATTATTAATATGTTTGATCGAAAATAATAGAAACACTGGAAGCAGTTTGAAATTGGATATTCTTTATACAGTTGTATTTTTTAAAGAGAAACCCAATAACTTGAAGATTAATAATAACGCTAATAATGCGCAAACGATTTACATAATTAGATTAGTTGCATATTAACCGTTTTTGCAAATTAATTTTCAATTTATTTTCAACTATCGGATCATAACCGCATGCATGGGAAAATACATTCTGTATACAATATAAACACGCAATTGATTATAAGTTTATACCAATAGTGTTTTAAGTTATCATAACGAACTCAATTTAGCATATAGCGGTTCCTCTAATTTCAATCATCGAATTTAATAACAGTAAAGCGAAATTAATTTCAAATATCACGAAACGAGATTAATTCCGCAATTCAATTTATATACCTGTTACACTCATGATTAATTCATAAAGATTTCCAATAAAATATCATTTTGCATGAATTTATCTCATGGGTTTCCCTAGATTCAAAAATATATAGGTACCTAAACTAAAAACTTTTATTGGAACATTTATTTCACATTATTTCAATTTATTATGGTTAGCAAATACCTTTTTAATTGAGTAAATGAAATTTAACAATTATAATATAGTATCTAAGTAATAAATATCTAACACATTATCTAACAATTTCTACAATTATTTTGACTATAAAGACCTACTGAGTAAATAAAGATATTATTTATAATGTTTCCCTTACGAAATCATAAAAGTCAGCTTTATCAAAATATATTTGTCATCCTCGTACTTTCAAATTTAAGATATCAAGCCCAGCCGGTGTAGAACAAGCCTCACATAATAATAAAAGTATATGGCAAAATGAACCGCGATGTTTCTATGGGTAGAGGAAAAGGATCTCTTTAATAGCATTGGAGGAGCGTGTTAAAGACCCTCCTGCTTCTCCTGCTTCTTTTGCTCAAATTTAAAGGTTTCTTTAAGTCATGTGAATGGGATATTTTATTTTCGATTATACGAAGGGTATATACATGGAATTTATTTCGTATAACAAGTTTAGAAAAGACGAAGATACCTTTGCATAAGAAACTCTATAGGATGGATCGATTAAAATATAATTTAATTGGAACAAATTTATAGAGGGAGATCTCGATTGCTTTTTTTTTAAATTTGAATATTATGTTTTTAACTAATTCTTGTAAATTTATTTTTGGTACCATTTATGTGATTCATAAAAAACAAGCAGGGGAAGGTGCAGGATGATGTATCTAACATAAGGTTTTTAAATTAAAACTACTACCTATGAACAAATATTTATTAACACACATTTTTTTATATGTCGGTATATAATATGTATGTATACTTTACACAGGGAAATTAAAAAAATTCAAAAAATACAGCCAACCTCTGAAAAATCACCCACAGTCATAAAAAATCTACATTTATTTTAAATACTGAATTTTGTTGGACAAAGTTGTATTATTTTCGACCCTAAATTCGGTTATTTTTAGGGTTTTTAATATGTAAACTGAGATCAAATATGTGGGAGTATATCTAACTGCCCGAGCTTCAAATTATGATTTACAGATTTACACACATTTAGGTTATACCTACATTTACAAACAGCCACAATGATGGGTTCTTTATACAAATAATACATAAAAAGAGTACCTACTTAATATTTTATATCATATTTACGTACCGTATTTATTCAACAGATATATGTATGTATACGTAATATTTGTAATTTTATTCTATAAGTACATTCAATATTTTTATACATGAACAAAATTAATGTTTACCCAACTCCATTCGAAATGACCAAATACCAGTATCAAATAGACAAATAAGGTCAATTAAAGTTACTGTATTAATTATAAATCATTCAATTTAATAGTATAATCATACAATTTTTAAAGTGAACTTTCCTTTAGATAACTTTAAGTAGATATTTTAAGATTTTAATCAAATATTATACAATATTTGCAGTATAAAGTATTATACAAATAACGTCATTTATTAGATATTATAAAAATCATATACAAAAGTACCAAAAATATATTAATTTTCATTTTGTTATAAACATTGTGCGTAGAATATTATTCCCGTATCCAATTCGAAAGATACAATATGTATAAAGTTGAAGTAAAATCTGTATTAAAGCTTAAAAACCAATTGTACACAGCCAGGTATTTTTAGGTAGATTAAAATGCAAATCAATTCATTGATCTTTGTTTTTGCATCTACTATAAATACTCTTCTCTTTGGAACCTTCTAAACCCGCATAAATGTAAAAAATTGACAAGAGGATTTTGATACACTCGATAATAATGAGAATATTTTGTTTATATTAACAATAAAATACCCAAAAATCATTAAAGAACAGTAAATAGTATACTTAGAATTTCAGCAACCTTTTATATTTTATATTTCTAAAAAAATTTATAACTTAATTGATGGTTTTTTTATATTATACATTATTATCGGCACATTAAATCGAATTGGCCCGACCGCTTCATCTAAACTCAATAATCCGGAATAACCCTAAATCGAAGATCACTTAATATCCCTCTGTATTCGCTCATACGTATTATTTCGTTTCTTCTGGAAGTGTACTCTCTGCTAGACCGCCGATATTTGAGTTTTCTCCCCGTTTCTTTCGGTCCCAGTAGCGTACTGGGACAGGGGTTTAAATCGTAAAAAGTGTTTCAGGCGAAAAACTTCTTGGAAAGTCGTGCGGAATTGCCTGGACATCGTACAGTAGAGGATGAAATTGATGCCAGAATTCGTCAGGGCCAATATATCCATCATATCACCTGAAACAAAAGGTATGAAAAGTAAAATCGATCGGACCGTTTTTACGGATGTTGGTAAAAATTTAATAAAAAAAGGGCCCTTGAAAATTGATTGATGTGTTCGTATAACTAGATAAATACTCTTTTTATGAACATAAAGTGATGGGTAATAAATTTATTCATTGCATTATTCATTTGATAAAGTGTTGGCAAGCAACTCAAAGTTAAAAAATATTTTACAGAATTTAAGTGATGTTTTTATAATAAACTTATATCAAAAAAATATTAACTAATAACGGACCCGCCACTGTTTAACATAAAGCTTATCCATCATATTAAAATACAAAAACTTTATAGACCAATTTTGGAAGTTCAATAATTTGCAAGTAAAAGGTAAAGGCAACTTCGATGATTTTAATATCCGTGACAAGACTTCGTTATTGTTAGAATTTGGTTTCAAAAAAACACATAAACCAACTTTGCATGATAAGTACTATATTAAAATATCTTTCACAACTTGGTAAACCAGAATATTATCAAAGGCTTTCTGTAATAATATTTTAAAGAATTCCATTTAATTAGTGATTACTATACATCCGTATTTATAGGTGAGAGAGTGAATAAAGTTTGGAGTAAAATTCAATATAAATCTCTTTACACTGCCCGTTTGTTTACTTAGAAGGCTCATTTTGTAGAGGCCAACAAACATTATTTCACCAGTAAACTGAAATACTAGTACATATAATTTAAATCATTTTCTTCCCTTACTAACGTTCAATCTTAATTACATAATGTCACTTTATCTCTTAATATCACTTAACATTTTAATTCAGGGTCAAAACCTTATTATTTAGAAATTTCTTTTTTTGTTATCATTAGCCTAGGAGTTTTATACAGCATATTTTTGTAACTTGGTAACATTAGTATTTTACATAAAAACTGAAAATAACTGAACTGTAAAGCTCTCAGCTTTTTTCAATACAAACCCCCAACCAGCAGTGTTATTTGTAGTGTTTAATGTATGTATAAAGATAATTTAATCTATTATATTTAACCTGTTTATTTACTCACGTTACAAGTAATGGGTAGAATAAGCTTGTAATTCAAAGTTAACAAATAGTAAGTACTACAAATAATGCGGATTCAACGCGAATTAGGTTTAATAGAATGGAATAGGTTTTAGTCGTAAATAGATACTTCAAATATTTAATTTAAGTTTGTATGTAACAGGATTCAATTGTATTATTGCTGTCATTAACAGCAAATGCTCGAAAATGGAATGAACATTGTCTATTATTTCTGTAGTTTGTATGCTTCGAATATCATCGAATATAACTTTATAGTTAACCAGCAAATTGAAGAAAAAAAATTACATTTTATAATTAAACTTGGCATATTTGTAACGCATATTTGTAAGGGCCAATTTAAGTTCTTTGGTCCTGAATGTTTGATATCAATTGATGGAAATATACTCGATTTTTAAAATTCTCTCAGTGTATCTGATTTCAAGAAAATATCTTCTACGTTAGCAGACATTGTTGTGTACCAGATAAGTTCTTTCTGTTTGTATTCCTATACTTTTGTATCACGATACGATCTGTTGGCAGCCGTTCTTTCACAGAAATTTAATATCTACTTACACTTTCTTCATGTTTCGTAGTCATAGAAAGTGTCTCTATAGTGTTTTGATATGTACATGAAGTTCCTCTAAGGAAAGTAAATCCATAAAGAAGCCAGTAAGTAATACACTATTTAAGGCTAATAACATAAATTAAAACGTAATAGCAGGTACGCCTGAGTACTGTTTAAAAGATAAGGAAAATGGTGCGAACTGCAGCTGAAAATTTCCAAGGAGATTGTACATATTGATTTTATCTATATTTAATTATCTTCAAATTTTCAAGTTGATCTACAAACTGAACTTCAATCTGAACTTTTCAAACAAAGTACACCCGCTTTTTGATGTAACGCTTAATTAATTGCGATTGTTTGAAGAAAATCTAGGTAAGGCAAACCTGAATAACTACATTCTATGGAAATATTTCATTCCCTTAGAAGCTTATTATTTTATTCAAAATAATGCAAAACTTTACCAGCGATAAGTAGATATGAGAAAACGATACATTCAAACATACTACACATACATGCATAAAAATTCTCTTCCTACAGAACCGTCTTGAGGTCGATAATGAAAAATATTCATAATTCTTATAAATCTCGGCAAACTTAAACAAGACGGATTCGCTCATTTATCTTCTACAAAGGGGAAAATTCATTATAGTTCTGCGAACTTGATAGTCACGTATGCCAGATATCTTAACCGAAAAGTAATAGCTAGAATTCCTCTATTTGCCTTCCAGTGCTTATTCTTAGGGGTCACGGAATTCATCAAAATCGACCAGAAGGACAGCGAGCCTTACGAAATATGTATGCAGGTATTCGGTATTGTTCTGGTGTCAAAGGAGACAGTTTTACAAGTTTATCAATGCCAGTTAAAATCACTCGAATTTATGCAGCAAACTTGATAGCGTTATTTTTAGATAAAGATTTAGTGAATGCGAGTTTTTTTAGGACGGATTTGCTCTTAATTAGCCTTTAACCATGCAGATGATGAAAAGTTAGAAGTGGGTAACTTCTTATTATATTTTAATTACCGAATATTTTACCGACGTCGATTTCTCCGATTAATTGGATTTTGAACTGTTCATATTAAGTTTTTGCAGTGAAGCAGTTAATTAGTTTATTTATCTACCACTAATTGAGCAAAAGTATGGTTCGTGCCGCCTAGAGAAATTGCAGTTGTTACGATGGGATTAATTAATACCTACAAAATCATGCAATGTGCAGTTTATAAAAATGCCATATATTTAATTGGTCTTTTATATTCTTAATTAGTTAATTGTTCTTGTGCATTTGTTTATTCTGATTACCAGCTTATCGACATTTCATTTTATCAGTGGGCGATAATATACTTGAACATAACACCCAATTAAAAGGCCATTAAATGAACTGACTGGCAATTTGAAAGAATGATTTATATAAATATTCAAGTGCCTTTCTCGATCTTGCAAAAATGTTGATAAAAAATTATTAGCAGAAGCGTACTCTGAATTTGGAAATACCTGCATAATTATATAAATTATGTAAAATTATACACGCTGGGATATTGATCCACCAAAAACTGTCATACGCAGGGAATGCTGAGATGAATAAGATATATGCGTAGATAAAATTTTCAACGGTCTTTAAAAATTCAATTCGTTTAGATTCCATCAGGATTTCTGAATTTCAAATTCCATTCCCTGCATACCCTAGTGGAAATATCTATAACAAATGCTGATTTTCAAGAACTTCTTCGAACCAAATGATCTAGTAAAAAAGCACATTCCATCCAGATCTTGTGGAAAAATATGGATTTACCATGCGCCTTTAGTAGCATGTATTGAATCACCTGGGAAACTATCAGGTCCGTAATTTGTAAAATTAATTCATGGATAAAAGAAAATAAGCAAACTATAAACTTCTAATTTAATAATATAAGACCGTATCTGGAATATTCAAAATAGTTGATGGTTGTTTTCTGCCGCCGGGCTTCATTCTATTGTAAATATGTAGGTAAAAAATATTTTAACGCTGATAGTATTTAATCCCTTGTAATACTTACACCTTATCTTTCATGAAAAATTCAGGATAGGCTTTATTTACATACATTCTACTGGTTAAATTTTTAGCATAAACACTTTCACCTTTCATATTTCAAATACCTACTACATTGTATAGATTTAAAAATTGGCTAAAAAAAAGAGCGAATCTTTGTTGAAGTGTTATTAATTATCATAAATACATATTATCAGTGATTGGAATTATAGAACTACGGTTCTGAATTTCTGATTGTCACGCTAAACATACAGTTGTTGGATAGTCAACAGCTAGAGTGTAACTCCCACTTGTGTAATCTGAATACTAGCATTGAATACCTAACCGGTCGGGTCCGTAAATTTTGGAATTAGATGCTAGCCAGTGAACAAGAATAGCGTCGAAATGAAGGCTCTCTTTTCCGCATTAATTATTCTTTACGCATTAAGTGGAATTCAAACTCTTAAAATTCTGAGTGTGTTTAGTTTCTGCGCTTACAGCCACTACACTTTGGGTTCTAAAATTTCTGAAGAATTGGCAAACAGGGGACATAGCGTAACGTTCATCAATTGCTTTCCAAAGGGCGAAAGGATTAAGAACCTGAAAGAAATTTCTGTTGATGGTTGCAAACCAAAAGTTGCAGGTAAATTATAATATTTAATTCGCGGCGTTATAAATGAAAATTTTTTAGATTACCCATTTTTTCATTTTATGAAAGGCATATTATAGTGAAGATAAAAATACATCTGTATATTATATTATAGTGAAGTACCTAAAGCATGTTAAAAATGAATTATTATTCAATTTTTGAGATTTTGCTTCTGCTTCATTAAAATTTCATTAACTCTGAAAGTTTGCATCGACTTTAAATTTTTATGATATTACTCGTAAGAGGATGTTTTGTTTTTAAAAATGGAAAACAATGCGTGGGATATAAAAATACACAAAAAAATATTATGTGTTAAAAAGCTTTTGTTACAAAATATGTTTAACGAATAAATTTGATTAAAAATACAAATGTGTTGTTACAATTAGCAATTAATTAATACTACTACACATTATAATTTCAATCTGGGACAAACCCAGAAAGCAAAAAAATACTTGTCTAAAGATTGCTTAACTTATTCAAAATAAATTAGCTATTAATCCTTCCGCATTAAAAAGTAAATAGTCATTATTATAATATGTAATGTAAAGTAATTTTTTATTAGGTATTTTATTTCCAAATTACTGGCCAAGGTCAAGGAATATCTAACTATTATAATAGAACCATTTTTTTAATTCTCCATTACTTTAGTTAGGTACCTAATACTTCTTATTTGTTCATTAAGTACCAATCCAACTATAATAATTGTACCTACTGGTAATAGAAATATAGAAAAGTATGGAAGTATTAGTATAAAAATTATAGTAAAGTGTAGTACAGTAAAGAAATTTGATTTATTTGGCTAGTTGTGATTATTCCAGAACCAACAAGCATCGGTTATGCTCTTGATGTCATTAGTGGAAAATTGGCTACCAAAATTCAGACCCTTTATATCACATTACACTAGTATAGGGACCCCATTTGTAAAAGGATCTTACAAAAATTTCAAGTATCATAAAAATACCTTGCCTGAATTGGGGACAAGGAGAAGAATTTGGGACAATGGATTCCTTTGCAAGGAAATTGTCGATGATAGAGTCCTCACATTTATTCACGTAAAGTTAATTCGCAAAATTTAAATGTCTAACGATATTATTTGTGGTATCATGGTCATTTTAGTATTGAAAATAAATTATGTATGGTTAGACTAATAACGAGGTTAATACTGTTTTTGAGTATTATTTTATTATTATTGATATAGTAATTAATTTTTATTAATAATTAAAGGGTTATCTAAAGGCAAGTGCGAAAAATTGTTTAATGCATAATATTGTTGCGAAATAAATGCAATATTATTTTTTGTTTTATGCGTACATTGCAAAGCCTGAATAAAGATAAGCGAAATATAATTATTTTTTATGTTTTTTAGAATTCGTGTTAAAGTTAGAAGAATTTGGGAAGTATTCCTATTTAGGCCAATTAGATTTCGTCAACAAACTGGGCCTCGTTTACACAGATGAGGTTTTTAAAATAGAAGAAGTGAAGAAACTAGTCAATTCAAATGAGAAGTTCGACGTAATTATAATGGAACATTTTCTTAACGATGCCATGGCTGTATTCCAACACGTTTTCGACAGCCCTTTGATATATTTAGCTCCCGGGCCCATGACAATGTTAAACAATCATCTAGTCGGAAACATAGCGCCTCCTTCCTTTGTACCCAACCTTCTAACCGATTACAATACAAAAATGAATTTTTGGCAACGGCTTCGCAACACTTACTATCACATAGTGGGCGAATTGTTTGTTAATTTTAAATTATTACCAGCCCATAATAAGTTAATGAAAAAACATTTCCCAGATGCACCCGAATTATCCACTTTAGCATCAAATGGTAGTCTTGTGCTGCTATCTACCCACGTAAGTATGTCTGACCCTGTCCCCCTTCAACAAAATATTGTACCAATCGGCGGTTATCACGTGTCCCCCCCGAAACCCCTGCCTGGCAATATCAAAAGGTTTTTAGACGAATCTAAAGAAGGCGTTGTTTTATTTTCCATGGGATCAAATCTGAAAAGTTCCAACTTCAAACCGGAAACGAGGAGAGCCTTGCTGAATGCGTTCTCGAAAATAAAGCAGAAAGTATTATGGAAATTCGAAACAGATCTGCCAGAAAAACCCGACAATGTAATGATAATGGATTGGTTACCGCAAAACGACGTTATGGGTAAATAAATTTGTATTTTAACGAGCGGAGTGGTACCTTATAATTTATATCATAATAGGTTGGAGTTAGAAAGTAGATGTTTGCAGGAAATGCGTTTAAAAATTGTAGTCAATTAAGTGTAATTTAACTAATGCATATTTATTGTTTGAGATATTCCATATATTTATATTTGCAGCTCATCCTAATGTTGTGGCTTTTATATCACACGGAGGACTTCTAGGTTGTACGGAAGCCGTTTATCACGGTGTACCCATATTGGGACTACCGGTTTTTTGGGATCAAGTGAAAAACATTGAAGATGGAGTTCGAAACGGCTTTGCACTCAAGTTGAACTTGAATGATTTAACCGAAGAATCCTTCACCAAAACCTTAAATGAAATTCTAAACAATCCTAGGTATAATAAAATTAGCTCGCTTTTAATATTCACTAATCTTAGTGTTCATAAAAATAAGTTTTTAATAAAAATCTGTGCTTTAGTTACAGGATAAATGCTAAACAACGTTCAAGGATTATGCGCGATAGACCAGTAAAGCAGATGGATGAAGCCATATTTTGGATTGAATACGTTGCGAGGCATAAGGGTGCTTTACATCTTCAATCTGAAGCTATTCACCTTCGGTGGTATCAGATATATTATGTGGACATTATTTTATTCATTAGCGCAATTTTAGCCTCTTTGATTACGCTACTAAATATTTTTAAAAATCTACTGTTTAGAAGTACTGCTAATAAAATAAAAACCAATTAAGGCGTGTCTGTTAGTTATTATTAATTATATAACTATTATCTTGAATTAAAAATTAGGCAATTCGAATACTTAAATTATTTTCATTCATTTGATATTTTTTAAGATAATATTCTTTATGGTACAAGGTCATTCAATTGTTCATTTTTATAAATTATGCAAAATAGTATCTTGAATAATCTAGCTTGTATATTCAACGAAAACCAGTTAAAATTTCATTTCAGTTATGTTTGAATTTTTCCCAATACACCGTAAACCAATAAAGTTAAAAATATAGCCGTTTGATCTACTCTTTGGGGAAAACTTGCATCCTTTCGAACGTGGACTAATAAAAGTCTTCTTCATACGCTTCAAACTGGTTTTTCAGTCGTAATTCATTATATAATTATAAATTCAATACAGAATCTTTACCGTCTTTACCTTATTTTATAATATTGACATCATGTGCACATTATACATCGTCTAAAACAAATATTATGTGTCAAATAAGACTAATTAAATATTTCAAGTTAATTTATGACACCTCTATGACTTGCGTGTTACTCAAATCTCGCGGATAATAATCACGGGTGTTCGCTGAATTTTGTATAACAGATAAGAATTATTTATTATTATACCTCGATTTTAACATACGAATATGTTTCCAGATCTTTTAAAAATTCTGTAGCTGTATTATGCAGAGTTGGATGGTCGATATTTGCAATATACGTTGCGCATATCAAGGGATTTGCCGTTGATGGATAAGTTTTAGCGCAGTTCATGTAAATTGCACTTCTTACTATCTGCATATTGGAGTAATTGTACACCAAGAGAAACTGATACATAACATTGTTTAATAATTTATTGATCAGTTACTTATAGGGTACTGTTATAATCGTAAGATAGATGGTATAAATATCTGAAAATTAGGCAATAAATTTATGCCTTTAAGTGCGTACAGGACATCTATAAAACTGATTTTACTTCTAGAATCGTTAGTTTTTATCCGATTTTTATGAAATTTTAGGTAGTTACTTAAACATAATAATTGTTTTGCGCAGACTCCTTAAAAATTTTGTAAACATTTTATTTTCAGTATAATTTTTTATTTTTTTGAGATTTTAGGAAAAAAGGAGTCAGCGCAATTCTATAGATTATTTAAATAATTTTGTCGGTCTTATAATTTTAAATCAAAAGCTTTTCCGCCTTTTTCTTTTAAACCCTTGTAATATGCTACCACCGCGAATTTTTATTTTTTCGATTCAACTACTAGCATTATTGTGTTGCATTTCAAACCAGAAGCTTGCGCCCCGAAATTTATATATTATTATAGGATGTAAAAATAAGATAAAAATTTGGTTGTCCGAGAGCTTCGGTATGCTCTTAATAATAATTAGAAACCATTTATCTCAGATCGTAATATCCGTTTAAATCTACACATTAATAAACTGGGAAATGGCAATACCTTCTACTGGTATGGTATTGTATTATGCATGAAAATACTGCAAAGGGGTAATTACTTGTGTGAATAATTTTCTACCTACTTAGAAATACGTTTGTATAACTCGTATATTAAATTCTAGTATAGACAGACGTCTACCTACCTATAATTACAATTACTGTAACTAACATTAAAGCTTTGATCCAAATGATGTGCATTCGTAATACGAAGATCCAATTACCTTTGCAAATATAAAGGCGCAATAACCAATATTGATATGCATTGACATTTCCAGTGCAACTGATGAATTAGTCATGCTAGTTGGAATAAAGTTTATTAATTAGTTCTGTTTAAATACCAAAGATTAAAGGGGATTGAATAACGGGAAGATTAGTGGAGATAAGCCAACGATATATCCCATCAAATACAGTTAAAAGTGGATAGGTACTCGATATTAATAGCAAGAAAATTATTGCATTGTTGCATTTAAAAATATTTCCCAATTCAAATGTGCATATTTAGGTAAGTACTAATTAACTAGGTAGACGCGGAGACAATTAATTAGCAACCCGTATAAAATTGTCACTAAGAGGTCAAGGGTACGATAAATTTTCACTCGAAAATATAAAACTAATAAAGTTAATATTTAAAAGTTAATAAATATTTATGAATTAATCCTTTAATTAATTACTTCGTATTGCTCATAAAGCAGTCGCTTGAACAAAATCTTCGCTAAGAGAGTTAATTAATATCTACACTAAGTATACTTAGTACCAATATGTAAGTAATTAACGATTAAATTAAAAGATGAAATATCAGTGAAAATATATCAAAGCTTAGCATGCTTCCTAATAAAGGGATACTAGAGGATTTTCTGTGCTTAATAATACTCCAATCAATTCTCCAGCAATAATGATAAATTCGTCTGAAGAGAGCTAAATGGGAATTAGGTGCTTAAATTTGATACTGTTGTTCAGCAGACAACATAACGTGGATATTTTTAATTCGGTGCCTGGAAGGATAATTTCATGCAAGAGCGTTATTCAACAGCCTCTGGGAGAGCAACGCTTGTAGTTTATATTTCGAAAATAAATCTTTCCACCTGGGCATTAATAGGTGATTTACGTTTCGAAAACTCCATTTCAATGACGTTGGACGATTTAGTTATTTTGTTTCTCGTTCGTTTGGAAAGCGAAAAACGAGCGAAAACATATCTAAAAATCGCTTAATGAAAAAGTGAATGAACGAGAGTCATTGAAAATTCCAGCAAGCGAAACAGACGAGTGGTCTTTACTTGAAGTTGGACTTAAGGAAGACACCCTATGCATAAAAAACCGATTTGAGCATCGTGGAGATAAATTTTCATATTTTATCAAAACGACCCTCGTTTGCTGCCGGCCAATTCATTTATTTTTCTATCTTAATGCAAACTGAGAATAATTGGAGATGAAATATTATTCTACTTGCAAGAGGTCGTCAAAGAGAAAAATTATTTTTTTTAAATTAAAACACTCCAGCATTTGAATTTACTTCTGTTACATTATAAATTAGCCAAAGCAGAAACTGTAATAGGGTTTGTTAGAATAATTTTATTCCGCGGGAGTAACTTTAATTAAACTTATAAACCAGAGTTTATAGTAACAATGGTCTCATAATTAAGCGATTTAAATGACATTTTAGTATTTCTCGAAGTAACAAGGTCTATCCTTTTCTATTTTCTTCTGTTTGCATTGTAATTTCTCCATTTCCCCTTCCAACTAAACCTTTCCGACTGTCTAATAACATAAATTTAAATCTATGTGTACAATTTGTCATGCAGATGGTGAGGCAGAACCCTTGTTTCAAATACTTTTAGGCGTAATTCCACATATATTTCGAAAGTTTATAGGTAGGTCTGATTTTGACAATTCACCCATACGTGATTAGTTAAATATGCATGAGAATTCTACAGCATCTATTAGTAAACTTATTAATTTATTCTATATTAAATTTTAAAGGGTCAATTGATTGAGGAAGTATTTTTGATGGGAAAAAAGGACTACAAATAGCAATCTGTTTCGAAAATTTCTTCCATATCCGGACTTTTGACTCAAGTGTATCATTTTCGAAATACAGAGCACTTTAAAAATATATATTTCTAGAATAACGAGACTGTTATTTTGCCATTTAAGGAATAATACAATTTTATAGCATTGACAACCGTATCAATACGGGAGGGTTGAGCAGCAAGGATATAATCCTGGCTTACACAAAAGCGAATATCATGTCCTAAGCGCCGATACTGTATCGCAACCAATTTGCTCTACGCGATTTGGGTATAACTAAAATATTTTTACTCGATTAGGATATCACAATATGTAAAAAAAAGCATTTGCTTGTTTAAAATAAAACTACTACCTACATATATGCTACAGTGTAAGTATAATAGCCTATTTGATTCAAAAGTTTGAATAGAACATTTCATTCAAATATTTATTAATAGAATAATTGACTCACTTATGTTTCAAATTACAGTGTTAAAATTTCTACTTGTATGGATCATTTATGGCGTGTAAGAAACTTTAAAGAACTGGAGCAAGACAGTGAGACGAAACTTAATTTGAAATAATTAAAAGTAAGTACACGAGGACAATTTGTAACGAACATACCACACTCATTCAATTGCCTATTAGCTAAAAGATATTTCCTCTGTAACAGAGGAAACACAGTTTGTCTTCAAATTGAAAATGTCCTTTTATGGTAGGTATATATTTTTCGAGAAATATGATCATTGCGATTTTTTTTTAAACAACAAATGCAATAAACTACTGCTCTATAAATACCTCGTCTGCTTCTAACAAACAGTAATATATTGCCCGGTTGATTACAGTGCTTACTCCTTCCGATTATTTTTATTTTTATTTTCAAACGAGAAACGCAACTCATCCCCGAAAGATTAATCCTGCACAAATTTAGTTTTTATAGTTACACGAAGGAAATAACGAGAGATTAAAAAATGTTCCTACTAACTCGACTTTATCTGCATATATTTTAATTTAATTAATCTGCGTAGAAAGTAAAATTGAATTTTGAAAAGCATAATTCCCGTTTTCAAAATTCCCTCATTTCTCGTCTTTAATGTAAGCAAGAAAATATTCATTATACCATCCAAATCAACAGGTGTTCCCTCATTTAAGACTTCAATTATTAAAAATGAGTAACGTTACAAGGGTGATTATTAAATTTTTCTCAAGGCGCGGACGCATTGCTTTATATAACGTCGAAGAACTGTGAAATCTCCATTCATTATTCATGGTGGCTTCATTTTCATAAAGATTAGCCAAGTATGGATAGACACAATAATAAAAAGTTTAGTTAAGAATTAAAACTTTACAGCTTCTAACTTTGGAATTTTAATATATTGTGGAATAAGTTTCCGAGCAAACTGTCTGTACAGTTTTAACAAAATATTTTAAATTAAAAACTGAATCCCTTCGTCATCGTGAAAGTGGAGATTAAAAAATTCTTGAAATTAAGAAAGGCAATTTGTTTCCTTAAATTGAATTCCAGTTCCTGCACTTGTGAATTAATTTATAAGGATCAAAATCTTAGAAAACGTTATCCCATAATTTTTCAGAAACTATTTGGACAGAATTTGTATAAAGACCATTTTTCTCATTAAAATTGTCATTTACAAGATTTTTCAGTTAATAAGTGTTAATATTTTTTTTATAAAATAAACGTGAATAAACGTACAAACTCTTCGAACCTTTTCAGATTTCATTTTACTCGTATTTTAATCTAACTGAGAAGTAATAAAACGTCCTTAATGGAGCTTCCATCAAGCGTTATTTTCTCCCCATAAGGCATAAAAGAAAATCCTCTCACTCGAGATGCCCTCTTAATCGATTTCTGTTTGTTACAAATCTTTTATTGTTTCGGTTTGTGTCGATGTGCCTGGACGCCATAATTATACAACTATAGAAATACAGATTTTTTATATTATTTCACGAAGGTATCCAGTGAAGACATTCAGTTAGAGTAGACAATCTTTTATGCATTGTCTCAATTGTAATGCATTAGGTACTTTCAGAATCTCTCGAATAAAGTTAGGTGAGCTTTAAATTTTCTGCAGAGAAATTTAAATCAATAGAAACTGTTTGAGCCGAAAAGTGAAAAGCTTTCAGTCATCCATTTAGATTAATGATAAATATCTTTCAATTAAAACTTTGAGACTTGAATGATTAGTCGAGTATTTTCAACTACACGTATCCAAATGGACAGTTGGAAGTAACAAAATTCAGATGGATTTTGTAAAAAAATTATAAATTTGTGGATATTATTAAAAAAACCTTCGAATTAGAAATTAATTAAAACCATTTCCTTGTGGAGGAACTCACAATAAATGAACTTAATTCCTTTGAGAATAAGAGGATATCATATTTACGAGATGCGAAAACGATTATAGCCAATAAAAGCTCTACGAATACGTATAATCGCAGTAATATACCTAATTAATTATTTGAAACTATCCTATATTATTCAGAAGGCACTTAAAAGTCCATTTTACAGAGTATTTCCTTGCTTTGTCCGAACACAAAGGATTTAGTTTTTAAATAATTATTAGCTTCCTTTTTTTAATGAAGAGATAATTAAATTATTTCGCTCGCATAGCCCTTTCTCTGTGGTTTTACCTAATGAAAACGTGGTAAAAATATTAAATTTCTCTTATTTAATTAAATATCTATTCATATTAACATTGTAAATATAATATTGTTATCCTATACTAGTATTTAGTTCCTACAAAAAATTAGATAGGTACGTAAATACGTTTATCATTTATAAAATATCTTACTTGAAAAAATCTCGATTATCCTTTATTTCGATTTCCCTTTGGGAATATAAATAAAAAATTTAAACCGATAAGAATTTAAAAACATCATGCATACCCCTCTATTCTAAAATAAATATTTCATACTCTAATGAAACTTAAATCAATCGATATTAAAATTTTTGATCATTTTCTTATGTCACCGTTCCATTTTTTCCAAAAATCAGTGTTATTTTTAGTCTGTTCTAAAATAAATGTGGTTGTTGATTTTTAGGGAATATCTCATAAATCTCTTAACTAATAGTATTAAAGAACAGTTTTATATTTTTCCAACATAATAAAATTTTTTGCGAATAAATTTATTCGATGCATAAAAATTTTTGAGGTACATTTAACACACACAAGAGCACCATTAAAATCGCGACAACACGAGTTAGCAATGATTTAATTAGCATTATGGATCTTTTAATCGCGTTAGCCCAACTCCAACACTGAATTTGCATTCACTTTTCAATTTCAGATTACAAACTTTTTGATTAGCATTCCCTTGCATTCGTTGTCACGCAGCGGCGAGCAGATATAAGAACTTAGGCAGCATAAGCATGCTATATACCGAGCAAGTTACATATTACAATGTTATCCAGTAGTTAGGTTCCAACTGAGCAAGCAAATTCAAATAAAACTATTGAAGTGAAGTTCAGATTCTGATATCAATTGAGTTGTGCAGTTTATACTTGTAGATTCCTTTCTACAGTTTCGAGCTTGTTTCGTATAAGATGAAAGACAAGTTTTATAATGATATAACCATTTATTCATGCTCTAATTATTATCGAAGTACGGTAATATCTTTCGTTTGCCGTATTGGTTAATAAATTAACATGTGGTCCAAGCTTTTTGCATATAGATGCTTGTTGTTAATTATGTAAGATATTTGATTGAGGCTGTAAAAGAGATACCCCGTTACAAACTGAATTTAAAATATACTAAATTTACGTATTCTACCTATTTAAAATTTGCCACAAAGTCTCAGAGTTAATTTCAACTCTTTGATAAATTTATTATTTATTTTATCTAACTTAATTAAAAACCACATATCATATAAAATAGCGGAGTTCGTTGTTGGCATGAAAGAATACACCCTGCATTCATATCCATTATAACTATATTTCTACTTGTACACAATAAACTCAATTCCTTAATAAAATTAAGGTAATTAATTGATAATTAATTAAATAAATTAAATTAAATAATTTGCAATATGTACGTAGTAAATATTGATAAGGGAAGATTATGTTGCATTCAATATTATTTAATCATTATTGAATATAAACAGCGATCTCGCGTATTTATTGGTAAAATACATAAGGTACCTAATTAAAATTAACTCATTTATTGGATTACATTCTATTGTCGTGTAATTACTCCTATCTAGGATATAAAAAACTGTTACCATCAGTATACATAATTTAATTGCCAATTTACTGATGATATAAGCTTATTCAGCTAAAGATAATTGTGTAATTTGTGGATAATTTAAATATTTATTTATAATTTGAGTATATGAGGATTTGGAAGTGACATTAGAACCATAATAAAAAACCAGTAATAGGTGTAGTACATTATTTGTTTTTATACAGATTTTTTGGTTATAATTCGCTTTCAATACAAACGATATTTGTTTACAATTAATTAGAATCAAAACAGCTTCCACTACAGAAAAAAGCCAAGCTTTTAATTAAAATATGATAAAAATTCAGAACGTTAATTAATATCTGTCACTAAAAGCGCTGGTGTTAAGCTGCCATGTTGACTTGGACTTCATTATACATAAATCAATATATTGGTTTATGTTTGTAAAAAAATTCAATCTTGTCTTCAATCGGTACTTATGTATGTACATACATATGTTCTATTTTATTGTTTAATTATCGGCACCACATAGTTACAAACTTCCAATTAAAGTACAAGGCTCTTTTACGGCAAAAACAAGTGTAATTAAGGTGTTATTAAGTCACACAAAGTTAATTTTAAATTTAATTTTCACATTAATATATGTTTTTGTATGATAAAAAAATGTATTCATTCATTCGATTTAATAAATAATGTCTACATTGTTGTTTACAGTAACTCAAGTAATACAAGGAAATAATTGAGGATTAAAAAAACAACTGGTGATACAACTGGTGTTTATCTCCACATATTAATAAAGGAAGATACATCCTAAAAAATATAGGAGTGTGATCCAGTGAGTGAAATAAAGAGGAAAGAGGATCTTGAGAGCCTTGGACGATAATACAACACTTCAAAACGTGTTTTCCAAAATCAAATTCATTAAAAAAAGTAGATATATTAAAAAATATACCTATTACTATTTATGTACAAATATGTAAGCAATTACAGGTTGAAAAAATTTAGATGTAAAATTTTATACATCATTCCTTTTGTGAAACCACTGAAACTTTTTCATTATTGTACTATTACAAAGCAAATAAATTTCTCGTTTAAAAGGAAACTAAAAAGAATTCCAATAAACTCTAAAAGTTCTAATAGTTCTTAAGAAGTACATCAAGAACTAATTATGTTGGGTGCAAAGTTTACTGAAAAAACCGTACTTAGGAAATGAATTGAGAAGATAGGTAAGACATAAAGAAGAAGATTAATTTTCTATTGAGTGAAAAAACTATAAATTTTCCAAATAGGGCATACTCCAATAATGAAATATCTTCTTAAAACAATTTCCTTGTACGTCGGCAATCCATCTACTAATATTGTTAATGGCAGCTAATTAAGCACAACATTGTTATTAATTATTCATCTAAAGTTGTCAAGCGAAATGTTTTCCTTCACTTGAGCGACCGGTTAATTCAGTTATAGGAAACCCGACATTTTCTGGAAAACGTATGTGGTAATGATTTAATGGGTAGTCGAGTAAATTGCAACTGAAATGTATTTCCTAAGGGAAGCTGATTGTGTTTACGTTTAATATTCGGATTTGACATGTTAATTAAAATTGTTTTACAAATAAACGCTAAAAATACCAAATAGTAATTTTATTTTTGAACAATATTTTTTGTGTTTTGTGTTTAGTTTGAAATAAAAAAAAATTGGAGTAGGATGTGCTATTTTCATTCAAAAATAATTCCCTGTGAACCATTTTAACACGAGTTTTTCTTCAGTTCCTTGATTTGTAAAACTTTTCTAGTAACTCTCAAGAGTGATTTTTTTCTCGTGGACAACACTAAAAAAACATCACTCTCAAGAGCAACTTGTTCAAGTTTTACTCTCAAACGTACCATCTCTCTTAACAATGCTCTGATTCATTAGAGTACGATTTCTAAAATTTTAATTCAGTCCTCCTATTCTCTTCGTATGGACTTCTAACCCTTCTAATTTATCTGCATCCTGTAGAACGTGACATGTTAAACGTGGCGTGAAACGCGTTTCTAAAGTTTTCACCTTATTCGAACGGATTAATTTTATTAAAAATTCGCGAACTTACCTAAGGGATCGTAGCATTGAGTTTGAAATGTTGCTCCTTTAGTGGCGCTAAGCAGACCGAGAATAGACTGTGGAAACTCCGTTATCAGAAACAATAACAGCACAGCGATCAGCATTCCAGACGTTCTATCTGCCTGTCGATGCTTCTTCCTAAGATTTATTATCGGTTTAGCGTCGTTCAAATTGCTCAGCGGCACGCTGTAATTCAACAGCACGGTTTTTCTCTTCTTCGTTTCACACAGCACGAGTATTAATTTCCTCGATAGATAGGTCAGCAGTATGCACGGTAGGAATTTTATCACGACAGCGTAAATCCAGAAGCTCATTTGCGCGTAATTTTGATTCACATAAGTCATCACGAATATCAATTTGTATATAACATCAGTTCTGTTCGACACGTCTTTATTGTCGACGATTCTCTCGTTGGCATCGCACGATTGATTGTATGGAAGAATCTGGAGAGATTGGTATAGAGGAAAACAAATCAATGGGCATACTAAATAAGTCAAAAGTATCACGTACAACGTTTTCCTCGTATCGCACCAAAATCTATTGTTAGTTGGGTTCCTTATAGCTAAATACCTCCATATGGCCAAAATCACAGTCAAACAACACGACACGAAATGGAACATTTGACTAAAAACGGCGTGAAACATCATAAATACAGCCCACATGTATGAATAATGGCTAATATATTTCCTGTCCTCCAAGTTCATGTACCTGTGGAACGAAAACGGAATGTACTCCAGCATCACCAGTAAATCGGCAACGGCCAATCCGGTCAGTATCAAATTGGTAGGCCATCGCATCTCCTTCGTGGTGAGCACGCAAATGTTCAAAACGTTAGCGATGGACCCGAAAACGCACACCAGGAAACTCAGGACCCCGTGCACCTCCTCGTAGCTGCCCTTAAACGCGTCGAGGTCGCAGTAGCGCGTCTCGTTCGAAACGTTCATTTTCGGAAATTCGCCGGAACTAACGGTATATTCCCGCGTTTCTACAGGAGCGAGCGGAGCGCGCGAGGCATCGTGGCTGGGCTTTCGACGGCATGTGATGCGAATTCATGTTCATGAATAGCGGCGGATGGCGAAGCTACGGCGTCCGTGGTAAAGTTTCGTCGCGGCGCCAACAAAAGACGCACGCATGCGAGAACGTCAAACTTGGAGACGAATGCAAGCGCTGACCCGGGGTGCATAAGCCAATAAACTTGCTGGTTTATGCTAGCGAATATGTTCGAAATATTGCTGGTTTTACTGAGACGAGAGAATTCAATCTGTGTTGTATTGTAGATTGTAGTTGATGGATGCGGTAGAAAAGTTAAGGCATATGAGATGGATCTTGTATCAAAATGTAATGAACGTTTTTTTTATAAAGCTTTTACCGTCTTGTTTTTGTTTTGATTTGTTTCGAATTCTTCTTACTTTTGTTTTTAAACCATTTGAGTGTATCTTACATATTTTCCTTTGATTGTTTTTTATTATTTTGATTTTTAAATGAAACCGAAAATAAAACAATGTGGCTTTAGCAAAAATATAGTAAATATTGACACACAACAGATGTGGTAGTTAATTCTGTATTTAATACTTAATTAATTCCATTGTTTATTCAAAAATTATTTATTTCACATGACCGTAAATCGAATATAATGCGCTTAATTACTGTTTAAATATCAAATAATATATTAGTACAAGGTCTAAATTGGAGTATTTTATTCTAATACCAATGGACATTTAAATTAAATTTGCGGCCTCATTTATTAGATTTATTCAATTTGTGAGACCAAAATGAAATGAAAGAGTCAACATTTTCTGTTTTTTATGGAAAATTTTTCTTATTTTTCTCCATTGATTGACTTCATTAACTACCTAATACACTACCGCAGTATTAGATATATTACAACACCCTGTACAATATTTTTATTCAATAATGTGTTGCTTTCCGTTTTTTCAAAGCCTACTTTGTAAATAAGCTATCGTTTCCTTGCCTATACATTTTTCCATTATCCATTCCACTCCTGTTCTCTTATTCAATCAAATGAATAAAGAGATAACAAGCGAAATTTTTCCGATTCGCAAATCGCAGACGGCACAAGATTTAACTGATCGTGATTACCGATCGAAAACGGTTTAAAAATAGGACAGGCTCAAACGAATTGGGGTTGAACAAAAAATTGAATGTTTTATATAACGTGTTTACTTATAACAATACGTCAGTGTGCCCAATTTAATCCCAAGTGGTGAAAGGGAATAGTAATATCAAGCCAATTTCCAATTGATTTTCTTTTTATTCGGATAAAGCTATAGACACTTACTTACCAGGTCCCGTCTGAAGTTGATGCTGTTTTTATAGTTTATTGTCAACATAATAAAAAATATGTTTTCCTTTCAACCCTTTTTTACAAAAAGGTGTTTTCATTATTTTCACCTATGTCGATATTTTAGAAGATAAAATTAGTAAGGCTAACTTTACGTAAATTTGCAAAAACTCTAGACTTAATTGAAACATAGTAGATAATAAAGCGTTCGATACCCTCTACTCTCTAAGCTTCGTGCTTCAACCCAACGAAACCGAGCTTTTCTTTAGACGCTTTTCATTCACACAAATAGCTCCTGCCAGCTCCATTTGAAACAGAGAACATTCATTTAAGGGTCACGCCTTGAACCGAAAGATTTTTATTCCCAATTACCCTTAAAGACATCACGCACTTTTGCTGGACCTGAGGCCCATACCTTTAAAATTCTGTTGACATCTGACGTATGTTGGTCAATATAGGTCCGATTCATTTTCTATTCAGTGGTCCTTTCAGAAGAGATTAGAGATCCTTTAATGATAAGGTAGGTACTTATGAATAGCATGGCACAGGACAAAATCGATACTGTGGAATTACATACATTTGGTACAAACCGTCAAACAAAAGTATAATATTTTTAATACCTCCTTTATTTTGAAATATTTCGTATGAAAAATGTATGTTCGAATGAAAAATGTTATATCGGCGGCTTTGTAACTAATCCGAATTATATTCAGCGTTGTTTCCAATTACAATTACTATAGGTGTTATCTATTGTATTAGTTTCTCGTTTTGTTGACATGGCTTTTATTCTAAATGATTTTCATTTCGTGAAACATAAAACACGACTGTACATAATCGCTTTCGCTGCTTTATTTATTTTTATCACGTTTCGTGTTAACAGAAATGCGTGATTTATGTTCTCATATTGCGGAAGCTCCATAAGAATGCTTTATACGAACACAGTTTTCGATTTAATACGAATGTAATTGGGCAATTTAGGTCTTATCAGCTTTTGCAAAAATTGCATACTACGGTAAAATAGAAATAGGAATAGTGGCGTTAAAATTCCACATAGAGCTATTAAAAAAAAAAAAAAAATTTTAATTCGTAAGAATTGATGGGTGAGTAACTTGAGAGTCTGCTTTCCAATCTTAAACGTTATCTAAAAAATATTGTGAATAATAGAGAATAGCAAAAAAATCTGGCACTGGGAACAGATTATTCTGATTCTAAAAAAGGCTGGCAATTTATTTGATGTAAATGGTTATGGACGTATTCAATAAACAGCAAATGGAAAGTATTGCAAAAAATTTACGAAGGGGCACCTCCGCCTGATTTGATTAATATTCTAACCAGTCGGTATAAGTATATTCTTTTTCCATCGACGTTTTCTACAATTTTATAGAATTTGATTGATTTGATCGTTATGAAATGTAGATTTATTTGGCATTAACGAGGTACTTAAATTTTTTAGGTACAATGATACCTACATTTTTTTAATAATAATAATACATTAATTTGTTTTAAACTGTCATTAAATATTACCTATACTATTTCTCGCCGTACGGTTATGATACCCATATCGAACAAGTATAACCAAAACTAATAATCACATCATTAATTATTTATTCACAAACAATTTACATGGCAAACTTGTAAAACTGGGTTATTTAAGAATAAGGCAGAAAAGTAAGTGTTACAGTAAAAAACTATTAGGTTTAGCTATAGGGAAGTTAACACGAACTTCCCTTATTTTTTACCGCTGATTTCATTAAAACAGAAAAAAACTGGGTGGTTCCATTTAAATTAATGAAGAAATTTGATATTTTTGATGTTCAAATTTGTACAATTTTTATACACATCCTGTATAAAATAAAAAGTTTTTCAACACAGGTGCAAATACCTTTGGCTTTTCTAGGGCCACCCTACAGGAACCGTTTCTTTATATTTAAGGGGATCCTCGTAAAAAATAAATTTATAAGGGCCGGCATCGGATAAGTAGTTTCCAATATACAGATATAGTTTAAGCTCGTCGTGACATACCCTGTATGTGGCATTCAAAGGTTAGCGGGAATTTATAGCGAATTGGATATTTTCCTGTTCTGTTTCAATAGAAATCAACTGGATCAAACGAACAATTTACACGCGGAAATTGTCTGTTATAATAGAGATTCTCTCAGATTAAAATTTAATAACTGATATACTCGGATACCAATATTATAACGAAATTCTAGTTAGTAAATTTTAATATACTCTCGACGATTATACAACAAAATGTTCCTAGTTTTATAAAACAATTACATCAAAGCCATCATTCTTATAGAATGGGAAATTCCGAAAACTATGTTCTGAAATTATCAATTATAGCATTTAACAGTAAGTAATACCTATATTAAAACGTTAAAGGTGAGCTGTGTCTTTAGTGCATATAAACTATTAAATTATTATGCAACAAAATAACAGTCAAAGTACAAGCTATTTAATTAAATAATGCTACTTTCCATCATTATAATTAGTACCTACCTAGTTACACAATAGTTTTGAGGTTGTTTTATATTTCTTTTTTTTAGGAGTGAATATGATTTTGACTTGATTATTTGTTTCAACCAGATGATTTTAAAAACAGGATGATTTTTTTATTTCGTTAATAACGAAGTGGCCTCTTAGAAAATTTACTACATTTAAATTTTATTTCAAGAGAAGAAATTATTTAAATTAATAAATATAATTAAGACAACGATTTTCATTATTAAAATAAAAGGCGACACATCTCAGTTTCATTGTAGTTAAAAAAAGTTAAAGAAAAAAACATGTTTTCTAACTAAAGAGTTTTTTTTTATGATTTGTGCTTGATTTAGGCTTACCATGTTTCCCAAAATATTCAAAAATATTCTCCAGACTTAAACTGGTCCGTATTCAGCGCCTTACTTTACCTTTAGAGTAACTCTAAAGTCGCGTCTTTAACTTGACAGTTTTACATTGTTGTTATGGAGTAACTAGGGACTACAATAGAGACGCGACTTTTAAGTCACGCTAAAGTGAAAGTGATGAGGTGCTGAATACGGGCCATTGTATCTTGTATTTTAGTTAGACAGTGTGGAGACCCGCCACTGATGGATCGGTTTAATCATTGTTGTGATTCATTACATATTACGAATTGTAAGAATACGAAAAAGTTAGTTAGTTTTTGGAGATTATTAGTGATGTATGTCGATGAAAATTATATTGTTTAGTATTAAATATTAGTTCGTTAAAATAAAGACATTATTACTATAGGGTGTGTTTTAGTGATACTTAGCAGGGTACCACAATTGGCGACGAAGGTAAATATGTATACATTAAAATAAAATAGACAACTATAAAAAAAAAAAGAAAAAGGGTGGATTAAATTCTACTAAAAGATCATCGGGGTGGATTAAATTCTACCAAATTACAGAGTGGATTAAATTCTACTAAAAGATCATCGGGGTGGATTAAATTCTACCAAATTACAGAGTGGATTAAATTCTACTAAACGATCATCGGGGTGGATTAAATTCTACCAAATTACAGAGTGGATTAAATTCTACTAAAAGGTTATCGGGGTGGATTAAATTCTACCAAATTACAGAGTGGATTAAATTCTACTAAAAGATTATCGGGGTGGATTAAATTCTACCAAATTGCAGAGTGGATTAAATTCTACTAGAAAGTACTAAAACAGCTCTTTGTTTTAGGAGAGTGGATTAAATTCTACTGTTGGAACGCATAAAATTTGCTGATTCCAGGAACGAGGGTGGATTTGATTCTACCATTAATGCGGGTGGATTAAATTCTACCGAAAAAAAAAAAAGAAGGGTAAATAAATAAATAGGTAAATAAATAAATAGAAATAAAACAAATTATGGTTTTACAGAAACTTGAAAAAAAAACGGTTAAAGAGAAATGGACTCTTCAATTAAACATTTTTCTTGTGATACCATAGATAAGGCGCTACTGGCTACTGAATGGAGAAAATGGGTACGCTCTGTGAAATTATATCTAGATGCAGAAGAAATTACCGATGTAGTTAAAAAGAAAAATAAACTTTTACATTTCGGAGGTCCACAGTTACAGGAAATTGCATTTGAGCTGCCAGGAGCTATTGTAGAATATGATCCTGAGATAAACAACGATGTATTTAAAATTCTAACAGATGCTCTTGAAAATCACTTTTCACCGCAACAAAATTCGTGTTTTGAAAGACACGGTTTCCGAAATATGAAGCCCGAAGAAGACGAAAACTTGAACAAATTCCTTGTAAGAATCCGATCGCAGGCAAATAAGTGTTACTTTGGGAAAACTGAACAAGAAGCTCGTGAAATAAACATTAAGGATAAATTAATTGACACATGGGCACCGGTTGAGTTAAAGAGGAAGCTCCTAGAAAAGGAATTGCCATTAGAAGAAGTTATAGCACAGTGCCAAATATATGAACAAACTAAAAATCAAAGTAAAATTATGCAAAATAAAATGGTTTCTCAACCAGACGGAGTCACCTCACAGATAAACCGACTTGAAAATCTAAGGAAACGGAAATATGGAGAAAACCTAAAAGAACTGGAATGTATTCGATGTGGCAATAACCATCATCCTTCAGAAATGAAGAATTGTCCTGCGTTAAATATTAAATGCCATCAATGTGGGCGCATAGGACATTTTGCAAGAAAATGTAGAACGGCAAGAGGTAATCGCCCAAGTTATTCTAACACGTCAAATTTCCGTTCTAATCATAAAACTGGAAAAGGAAAAAGAGTTCATCTTATTGAAGAAACAGCTGACTATGACGAATCACCTTCAACTAGTGGAAGAAATAATTTTGAATGCTTTAGATTGGGAAATTCAGAAATCTCTATTGAAGGTAGCAAAGAAGGGATAATAACTGTGAAAATTGGTGATATTCCTATAAACATGCTAATTGACTCGGGAGCCTCGTGTAATGTAATTAGCGGACATGATTGGGAAACACTGTGTAAAAACAATGCTGCGTTGGTTAGTGTCGAGAAAGATGTGATGAGTAATATAAAGGCTTACGCTTCAGATGAACCATTGAAAATCAAATGTAAATTTACAGCACCCATATGTGTTGGAAACAATAGAGAATCAATTCAATCTTTTCTTGTGGTAGAACACGGTACAATCTCTCTTTTAGGAAAAGAAGCATCGATTTCTCTAGGAGTCTTGAAGCTGGGTTTCACAGGAAATACAATAAATAACTTAGAAAAAATCACTCGTTTCCCAAAAATTCGAGGCATTAAAGTAAAACTTACAATAGACCAAAGCGTAAAACCAGTTCAACAACCACTGCGAAGAATCCCAGTTGCTGTAGAATCCAAAGTTGAAGAGAAATTAAAAGAAGCACTCGATAAAGATATTATTGAAGAGGTAAAGGGATATAGCCCTTGGATATCGCCTATGGTAATAGTTTTCAAACCAGACGGAGATATAAGGATCTGCATCGATATGCGCCGAGCCAATGAGGCTGTGCATAGAGAAAATTTTCCTTTACCAACTTTTGAAAGTTTCATGACAAAATTGAGTAAAGCCAAATACTTTTCTCGATTGGACTTAACAAACGCATACCACCAGTTGGAATTGGAGGAGGAAAGCCGCCCGATAACTACTTTTATTTCTCACAAGGGACTGTTTCGATACAAACGGCTACTATTTGGGATCAACTCGGCTCCAGAAATATTCCAACGGACTTTTCAAAACATACTTGCTAAATGTAAGAACTGCCTTAACTATTTGGATGATGTAATAGTATATGGGAAGACTGATGAGGAACATGACGAAAACTTAAAAGAAGTATTGAGAGTACTAAAAGAATACAACGTGCAGCTAAATGAGAAGAAATGTCATATTAAGACCAATCGCTTAGAATTCCTGGGACATATACTATCGTCATCAGGAATAGAACCAGACCCACAGAAAATTGACGTAATTCGTACTTTCAGAGTTCCAACAAACAAAGAAGAAATAAGGAGTTTTTTAGGTCTTGTAACCTACTTATGTAAATTTATATCTAATTTGGGCGACCTTACTGAACCACTTAGACAACTTTTGAGAAAAGAAACAAAATTTCAATGGGGACAACAACAGCAAGACAACTTTGAGAAGCTTAAGGAAGAATTAGCAAGGTTACCTACTTTGGCATACTTTAGTCTACAGAGGCGTACACAACTGGTAGCGGATGCAAGTCCTATCGCACTGGGAGCAGTATTACTACAATTTGACGAAAACAACGAGCCCCATGTAATTTCTTTTGCAAGTAAAAGCCTCACGCCAATAGAGCGCAGATACTCTCAAACTGAGAAGGAAAGTCTGGCATTAGTGTGGGCCACAGAAAGATTTTACTTTTACTTAGCTGGAATAGAATTCGATTTAGTAACTGACCACAAACCATTGGAAGCCATATTTAAACCTACATCCAAACCTCCAGCTAGAATAGAGAGATGGCTATTAAGACTCCAATCATTTAAATTCAGAGTTATATACAAGTCTGGAAAATCAAACATTGCTGATCCTCTGTCTAGGCTCTGCAAGCTAGAATTTGGCAAAACTTTTGACGAGCCAAACGAACACCATTTGGAATGCATCATTAAAGAAGTTGTCCCCAAGGCACTTTCAATTTCAGAAGTAATAGCCGAAAGCAAAAAGGATCCGGAAATCGTAGAAGCCATAAGAAAACTTGCAGATAATACTTGGGAAACAAATGACATGAACCCTTACTATCCATTTCGTCTTGAACTGACTTTTATGGGACCAATACTTCTAAGAGGCAATAAACTAGTAATACCCCAAATATTTCGGAACCGAGTATTGGAACTTGCACATGAAGGTCATCCAGGAGAGACTGTGATGAAAAGGAGAATACGATCCAAGATATGGTGGCCACGAATAGATCGTGAATGTGAAAAACATGTCAAGCATTGTCGTGAATGTATATTGGTTGGGCAACCAAATAAACCAGCACCGATGTCGAGACAAAAGTTGCCCGCAGGCCCGTGGCAATACCTGGCTCTTGACTATATGTCAGGAGAACAATATCAAGAACACTTACTAGTGCTAATCGACTATTATTCTCGTTATGTTGAGGCCATATTCACAAAATCGACATCATCAGCAGCAGTTATCCGGGCCTTAGAAGAAGTATTTTGTAGATTAGGCCTACCGAAGGTGATAAAAGTTGATAACGCCACCAACTTTAACAGTCAAGAAATGAAAAATTTCTGCAATACCAATAACATTGAATTAGTCAATTCACCCCCTTATTGGCCACAAGCAAATGGTGAAGTCGAAAATATAAATAAGTCCCTAAAAAAGCGCTTACAGATTAGCTATGTAAAAGGGGATCATGATTACAAAAAGGAAATGATGGCTTTTCTTATGATGTATAATGCGACACCTCATGGTACTACGGGGAAATCTCCGTCGGAACTTCTGTTTAATAGGAGAATCAGGGACAAGTTACCATGCATTGAGGACATAGTAGTAGAAAATTTGGATGATGAAGTCTATGATCGAGACCTCATTAATAAAGAAAAAGGGAAAGGAAAGGAAGATAGTAGGAGGAGAGCCACTATAGATGAGATAAAGAAAGGCGATCGAGTTATTCTAAAGAACACAACTTTCCCGAATAAGCTTACCCCGAATTTTAATAACCTAGAATATGAAGTCATGGATAGAAATGGAAATGAGCTAACACTTTTCGGAAATGGAAAAGTTACTAAACGAAACGTAGCACACGTAAAGAAATTGCCATGTAAAGAAATTGCACCGGAAACTATTTCAGCTTCTTCACCTCTAGATGATACCGGACCAACCACGGACGAGGCTCAGCGTTGTAACCAAGGAAACCTGGATACTACTTCGACACCCCCGAATCTACCACCTCTGAGACTCGTGAAAGAAGGAGGGATGTGGAGACCCGCCACTGATGGATCGGTTTAATCATTGTTGTGATTCATTACATATTACGAATTGTAAGAATACGAAAAAGTTAGTTAGTTTTTGGAGATTATTAGTGATGTATGTCGATGAAAATTATATTGTTTAGTATTAAATATTAGTTCGTTAAAATAAAGACATTATTACTATAGGGTGTGTTTTAGTGATACTTAGCAGGGTACCACAGACAGCGAAAACTTAGATTCATAATGGTAGCAAATAAAACAACATGTTATATTAGTAAAATTTTATTGTACGTCCGTTGACAAATTCACAGAATAAACATCGAAAACAAATAATTTTCTCTCTGTTGAATTACCAACATGTAATTAGAAATTTTCTAATATTTTCTTTCATAATTAATAATTCTTAATCTGCCTAATATTTGGATACCAGAATTTTTATACTTATTCTAATAAATGTACCTACATATCAGTATAGTTTTTGAATCACATTCATTTTCTTATTGATAAACACATTCTGATCAAATATTTAACTCCAGTTTACAAGAAAACCTGTTCGATATTCTTACATATCTTGTGCTATTCAATAATTCATTGATTGTTCCATCGATGTCAGTTGACCTGAAATAGAAAATATTTTGTTTGAATTCTATTTTCGTTCAAATGTAAATAAAAATACGTTTGTAGGTACAATTTAAAAAGAACGGAATGAGTACAAATATTGGTAAGTTAACAAGTTATGATCAATTTGATTTATGACAAGTTACTATAAATAAACTTTTAAATAAAGTTACATATGCATATTTCACTAATAAATACGAACAACGTACTTGGTATTTACGTACCTGGTATTTTGTAACTTATCATGAATGTTTGGGACAGGAATTACATAGAGAAAATTACATATGAAATCCCTTTTGAATAATCTATTAAAACTCTTTAGTAAGTTTTGTTCAATACAGGTAGTATGTAGTATTTTGTTAGATTAATTAATGGAACTTGAGAAAAGGGAAAACTGTATTCGCATTTATCTCGTAACTTTCCGTTTAGAAACAATTAGGTTTATCTCCTTTACAAACGAATCAAATAACAATAAAAGCTTTGAGCGTACTAAAACTGCAAAGCCAGCCTTATCTAAGGGGTAAGAAAATTCTAATTTGATCGATTAAATATTAAATTCCACTAAACAACTCACAGGAAAGGTATTACGAAGTAAATAACGCTTCTTTACATTCCTCTAATTGAGATCTGCAATTTATCGAAGAGAGAGAAATACTTTACTTTTCCGAAATACGTTTAACCAAAAATTAGCTGTAACTTGCTAAGCTCAATAATGATAATTATAATGAGGGTGCTTTAATTAAACATACCTAAACAAAATTTGCTTACAGCCATAATTAAAGGAGTGGGTAACAAAATAAACAATGTTATATTAGGAAAATTTCTGAAGTAAATATAAATTAATTATAAAGGAATTGATGCCAAGAATTATTATGAAGTTATTTGAAATTGAGAATTGATTAGCGCAATAAATATTTACAACTTCAGGCAAACTGAAACGCAAAATGATTGTGCCCACTTCCTTCTAGAGATTGTTTTCGTTGTTCAACGCAAAATTTTAATGCTTGATAATCTAAGCTTTACCAACAGTATGTTTCAAATATCATGTCTGTAAATAAGCCCAAACAACAAACAACGCGAAATAACAAAATGAAAAAGCATTATCTACCTATTGTTTTCGCTTTGGTCTCGTTCCTTTTTTTGCTCTTGGGCGTTTGTCCAGGGATATTTTTTATACCATTGTGTTGACCAAAAATCTAATTAAAAACGAGCTCTATGGATTTTATGTTTCCCGGTCCCATTTTTTCTCAGTGTATATGTAAAAAACAGTGTTTTACACGTAGAAGTTTTCCAAGTAGAAAAAATTCAGTAGGAAAAAGTGCTTCGTTCTTGTAGAAGTAAAATGTATCCATTACCAGCTTAATAGCGGATTCAAAATGAACGGAAAACCAATGTACAAGGGTCGCATGGGTATTAAGTGTCCGAAGGAACAATAACTGATGGAGACAAGTCGAGAGATAAATTATCGGGAGTATCAATCACGAGGGAATCGTCCAGAGCTTCAGATGGACACAAACGAACGATTTTTCGCCTATGGGCCAACTACAAATAACCAAAAAAGATTCATATTACCGCCGTCAGTTGTGTATCCTTCTCAATGATTTTCTCTCTGGCGTTGCTTTTGATCAGCGAGTTGAATTTCCGAATTCTTTTCAGTTTGAAAAACTCCCCGAATGTCGATCGGAATTGTCTAGACATCGTACAATAGAGGATGAAGTTGATTCCGGAATTCGTCAGAGCGAAAATGTCCATTACGTCTCCTGCAACAAACCAGGTTGCTAATTTAAAAAATACATTTTCAGAGGGCGTGTTTGTTTTATTGCTCATTTAATTTTCATTGAATTTGATTTTAAATTTAGCTAATAAATAGGAACGAAAATAGCATTGAATGATTGGTAATTCATCTCGTTAAGCACTTGTAATTTAGCAATTAATGAATTGGTTTGCACAAAAGTTTGATTCATGAATGCAACTAATTAGAGTAAATAACAAATAATATTATGAACTCCTATATGGGAACCAATATTGATATAGATTTACCACTACACACATTTACCTATTGAGATTTTTTGATATTATAAAAAAAATTCCTTTTGGTGTAACCTTGCTTGATTTTTAACAATGTTATTTGAGAATTTTTTCTTAAAAGTATGCTTAAAATAACATTTAAAATTAATACAGTCCATTAATTGTAAGTGCTTGCTTTTTTACTGTAAAATACATATAAACACATTCTTGCGTTTAAAAGCTGAGATAATAAATAAGCCCGGTTACAAATCTTTTTAAACGAACAATCTTTCCAAAAATAATTGCAAATACAAACTACATATGTAATCGTATAGGCGTTTGAATTGTATGTGCAAATAAAAAAATACATTTACTTAAATTTCCTTTAGAGTGTGAAACAGTTTACTTGCGTCTTATAGCCATTAATTTGAATTTCTAACGCCATCTATCTTTCTAATGTTTTACTGATTAAAGGGGGATGATTCAATTGCCCGTAGATTTCAACCTACAAGTCTATCGATTGACCCACTTCAAGAAAATTTAAGCACCAGCAGGCAGGTGACACGACGATGCCTATTTGAAATGTCGAGTTTTGTTTAACGGTAAGTTGGTTGCCTGAAAAATGCTCGTGTGGTAGTTTCCGGCATATGTTATCTGGATAAAGCTCCATTTCCTTTACAAAAAACCAGGAATGTAGCTATTTTACTATTAGTGAATTATCCTATTTCCCGGCAAGGGCTCTCCACTCCTGATGAATTGTCGGACGAATTGTACTCGATTAATGTGAATAAATTGAAAACAAGAATTATGCAAATTGGGAATCATTATAAGTGTAATTTAATTACATCTCTAATTATCGTTGTTTATTATTTCCGAAGTTTCAGTTAAACACGAGCTGGTGTTTAGTGCAGTAAATAAATCCAATTAATAATATTATCTGGGAATAGAACAATATTGCCATCTGTTTACGGGAATTATTGCAAAGTAGGAGAGCTTATGTAGCAATTCGTTTTAGACTGCAGTCGTAATATGAGCTCCTTTATTAGTCCAAAATTCCAAATAGCCTGAAATTGTACCTAACTAAACATCCACGATTAAACTGCTCAAATTGAGGGCTCTACGATGTGTACGTATTATTATATGGACGCTGTGACGAGTAATAGCCAAGGAAATTGACCTACTATAATTTAATTGAACGTACTTACCTATATTCTATAGGATACTTTTAGGCCTAAACAAAGGCTTATCTCATTAAAAGTTAAATAAATAACCAAATATGTTTGCAATGATTACACATACATATGTAGATATTTTTGTACCGGCATCAATTGTTAGAACGATTATTGAATAGAATGAATTTCATTTTGTGGGTCGCTTATATGAATACTTATCTGTAACGAACGGATTATAATGGAATAGGGATATCGTAAAAGATTTTTGGGGATATTACATTTATTAATTCCTCTTGGGTCAGATACAAGAGAATCAATCGATAAATTCATTTATACCAAACCGTTACCATTCAGGGCGGCCAGATAAAAATCTCTTTTGTAACTCTTCTTATGTTAGGTAACTCCTATTAACGAATATGCCTAAAAAGCAAAAGGGTTCCTATGTGTAGAAACAATTTAATCTATCATCAGAAAAACCGGAATATGGATATGCCTTGTAATTTTGTTCCATATAATTTAAAATTTGATTGTATCCATACTGATTAACCTATTTTTATTTTATATTATGAATGCAAAAATATCAGAAATATCTGTTAACCAGTATCGCGACTTCATGCAGATCGATGGAGTCAAGGCGCGTTAAAACCACCCATAAATTATCATTTTATAGAGCAATAACATAAACGTTTTACCATTATTGTATTTCAATCGATTCGGTCATAAAAATTACGATGAACTTGCCACGTTTCCACCGATCTTATGCGCCTTTTTTGTCTCGACTTTTACTGAATCGTTCATTTAATTGGCCGATAAAATCGTAATGAAGGCAAGTTGTACAATACAAATCATTCTACAGTAGGTATTTACTGTATAGATCTATTATTTACTCAATGAGAGGCATATTCCAGACATTTTTAAATTTAATACAATCACTGGCCCATTACATATTAATAATTTTTACCTAGAAGATATTATAAGATCGATAAAATCGCTTATAGATTAAACATAAGGTATTACCTACTCAATTTTGTACAAACTATTTTTTCATTATCATCTAATATGCGCTCATTAGCTAAACAATCGACCATATGGCAGTATTTGCTTTATTTTCTATGCATGTTATTACCGCATTGTTAATTATAACATGGCGACATGAGATGCACTATATTGTAACCTATATTATATTATCAAAAAACTACGTCCCTAATAAATAAGTGTCGCCATCCGATGTCGCCTTTTATTAATGTTTGAGTTAACGAAAAAGTTCATTATTCGAAAGGCAGTAATTACTTCATCGTTTAAAATTAAATTGCCTAATTGCCTAGTTGTGAAGTTGATCCTTCTGAATGCGGTAGTTATTACTTTTGGTAAAACTTTTCTTTCGAACCCATTTGTAGTAAAGTAAATAGAAAATGTTGAACGCAATTGGAAAAAACAAACAATTGATGAGTGTTGTTTTTTTTACTTATACCCAAAACTTGACCTCCTCCATTATTCCAGATAAAGCAATTTAGGGAAATGTCTGGTAATCTGGAGAGCAAGCTTTGGATAATGACTATTTTTTCACCGGCTTTATATTCTACTTTGAGCCATTTAATTCTGGAGAAAATCGATTAGACTCTCTTTCGATAGAGGCGTGTGGAGAATTTCTATTTTATTATTTTCGATAAAGGATTGATATATCGTCGGTACCTAAAAGTAATATGTTATTTATTAGCAGCATTTTTTTTAATTTATTACAAAAATTAGGTACCTGGATGGCAATAATTAAGGAGCTTATTTTTTACCTCCGTTATTAATTACCTGTCACCTTTGATTCGAATTTCACTGCCCATTATTTGACAAAAATACTCCTATTTTGCATAATACAATAGGGGTAGGCATTGATTGAAAATTAGCTCCAGTAAAACCGACAATAAATATAATCAAACCAGCAAAGTCATGCTATATACGAGTTAATCTCTATATATCAAATTTATTTTTTTAAGCACGACCCATATGTCATGCACACTAAATTGGGAGCCCAACTTTATGTTCTATGACGTGTTGGTGTTCACATTAGGCTGTATTTCGTTTTTTGTGTCGTATTTTAAATTGGCTCTGTACCCGAAAAATCATTCACATCTATGCTGAACATGCAATTACGTGCAATTCATTCGCGAGTCAAAAAGCCCGTTGAACATTTTTAAATTGAGCTCTCGAAATAGTACATTTTAAACTATTTAATAAGCACACTGTAATGTGTTCCCTTTGAATTTTTACATGAAAGTCGTATATTTACTATGTGCTAAAAATTCAACTCATTGTATAAAAAAATATTTTTCACTTGGCAAACTACCCTTTTCGTAAATAATGTTTGTTCTTCATTAGAAAATGTGAAAATTTGTATTCCACCAGATTCCTATAAAAGTCTGTTCGGGATTAATAATCTAACTAAACCAGTTATTTTTAGCCCAAGCTGTATTGGAAAAATGCCGAATTTGACTAAAAATTGCCCATATTTTGACAATTCATTTCAGAGTCCAAATTAATTACGAATGAACTCAGGTCATTTGGGACGTGAGGGGCTATTAAACTTTTCTGTTTAATTTCGGCGCTGGTTTCGTCGAAAAATTAGAAATCTCTCTGAATATTTTACATATCAATTGGGAGCTCTTTCGCCTCAATCGTCGATAAATCCCACGTTTTTTAATTCTTAGTATGAATATTTTCGTCTTTTTTATTTTATAATTTCATTATTTGTCAAGAATCGTAAATTTCATTATACTTATAATTATGTATGTGTGTAAAATATAATTTTATGCAAGTGAGGTGTGACAGAAAATTTGATTTATAAGAGCAACTTCGTGAAACTTGATTAACGGCTGATGTGAGTTTGAAATTGTCGCGAAATTTATGTTGAAAAGACAAAAACTTTGAACTGTTTTGAACTCAATAAAACTTGATGGATATTCATGAAGGAATTTCCGCAGATTTCGTATTGAATATAGTACAGGAACATATGTGGTTCAATATTTTTTTTTAATTTTTTAGGGATAAAATTAATTAGCAATGCGTAGGGAATTATTTTAGTTAATCGATAAAAATTTCACACGTTCAGCAAATTAAGCTTGAGTTACAAAAAAGGGCAAGTAAACGCAAGGTCGAAGCTTTCGTGACGCACTCTTTAAAATTACCTTCCATTTTGCCTTGTAGGAATTTCAGTATGTAAATTAATTTCGTTTCAAATATAAATAATTCGATCAATTTTACACATTTTCCGCTAAAATTTCGAAATATTTCGCTCTTACTTGCATCAGAAATTAAACAAACGATCATCCAAAAATCCTCCATTTAACCTAACATAAATATTTTTATGTCTAGTGCATCACTCTGTTTATAATAATTATAATACAAGTGGATTTGCAAGCCATTAAAGCTTACCAAATATATAACGTAACATTAAATTTATATGGCCAAAATTTATCGCGTTAATGATTTCAAATGTAACAGATTGATTTTTGTGTATTTCTAGATATATTCCTGAGAAATTAAATTAGCTGTCCAATTAATGCAAATGTTTATACAAAGTAGCAAATTTAATTATAAAATACCCCAAGGGTCACAAGTAAAACATACCTGTATTCTTGTTTTAGTATAGTATTTAAAAATATTTATTTTCGTCCAGTATATTGAAAATTAGATGGATAGAAGATAACAGTACCGTTTAATTTACACAAAATGTTTGAGTTACGAGTAAAAATAGATTATTGTTAAAATGCAACACTTCGTTTAATGTAAACAATTAATGCGGATGCACAATCTGCCAAATTGATAATATACAAATCCCAAATCATGTTTTCGATGTTAATCGAATTATAAACATCTAAGTATACATATTGTCGGATCAAATCTTATCTAAATATACTTTGAATGTAATGCGTTTCATAAACGTTAAGATATAATCGATGATTCGATGGTGTGAAATTATTCATTAGAGGTATGGTATGTACAAAGGACCTGGATATTAAAGCCAAATTAGATTAATTAGCGCTTGTTGCTAGGGATAATTCAGGAAAATATTGCACATTTACATCTATTGTTTGCAAAATACTTTATGCGTATTAGTTGCTAATAATGGATTCCAATCTATTATTCGAAATCTAATTAATTTATTCGGTATCCACAAAGTTTATCATGAATGAATTTAATCCTGATTTAATTACACCGGATGCTTGTCATTTGTTTTAGATAATGAATCTTCTATCTTTAAAAAGAACTTATTCGTTTAACTCCAACTATGTTGGTTTATTAATTTAATTAGTGTGTATTATAGTTAAATTTAGTTCCTATACATAATATCTTTGGGATATTTTGAATATCTATAGGTAGATTACGTTTAGGGTAAAAGGTATATCGGGTAGAGGAATAAATTTATAGGTAGAATTAAGCAGTTTGATAAGAGAGATTGTTAAAACTAATAATTGTTAGATCATCTTACAAATTTAAATAACTAAAACTTTGAAGAAGTAAAATAATACGAATAAGATTAATTTTTAAAGTACAAGCTACTACCCTACAGAAATTTGTATCCCAAATTTGGAGTTTAGAAGTTAAATTAGCGCTGAATATGCGCAGATAATAAGTTCAGATGTGTTTATTTCGGACTTATTTTTCTTCAAATCACAATATATTTCACATTTTGGCATCATGAAAAATGATTTGTTATCGATCAACATCTCTGGGCAAGCACAGGGCGGAAAATCAACGTCGAATTTCCGTTACGAAGGATTTATAAAAGAATTCAAGAATTTAGCAATTTTAAGGACGTAAGAATTTCTCCGAGAATTTATTACCAACACCATCAACCCACGTTCGAAGCTATTTGCTTCATTAAATATTGTGCTTTACGTCGAACCAAAAAATATTAAACCTGCTTAAAAGCTATAGAATTGAAGACCTTTGTCGTCTTGCTATACAGTAAAATGGACGCATTGCTGCACAACGTTGAGGATGCTTCGTGATCGAACACAACAGCATTTTATATGCAAATAAAAAAAACAACACATGACGTCTGAAAGTATTGGTAGAATATTTTACTGGTAGTATTAAAAATTACATTTTCCTTGTAACACCAAGGTTTTCATATTAAAATGTAAATGAAAAAATCTACATAATTTTAAGAAGACAAGTTAAAGCAATGAGGGTATTTTGAATGTGGAAAATATAGTGCAAAGCCATTAAAGTGAATTTTTCGAATCTACTTTCGCGTACAAAGTGCTATTTTTGTTAGAACATTTCAATTTAAAAGAGACATTATTGCCGGAACAGAAGATTCATGTTATGAAAGAAATTCGTTTCTAATTTTGTATACATAGAATGTCTTTGACATTCTTCCAAGAGAACGTTGAATGTATGTACCTACCTAAATTTTATATAAATTGCAACGTTCTTATACTCATTAGACATCGACCCGCGTAATGCAACTCAAGTGAAAATGAGGATTTTATTACATTCCCTTTGAAGCTGGGACATGCCGAGCTTAGAAATGAAGTATCACCCAATATTGGAAAACTGCAAATCGACGGACAAAGAGAATTTTTCGAATCAGTGGTTCAAATATGTAACTTGATTGCTACAAAATTTTATAAAAAATGTGTATTTGTCGCTCACGTTCTGTATACATATAAATGCAAAACTGTTTGCAATATTGTCAATTCTACATGAATTGAAAAAAGAATAATTATTAAAATATCAGTGATTGGAGTGAAAAAGTTGCAATCACACAATATCACTCTTTCTTTTCTACAATTTTGCATCTACCTTTATAACGAGTACACATTGTGTTAAGATAATCCAATGTAGGTACATACTCGTATTTATTAATTAAACCTGCCAAAGGTAATTAGTAGCAAATAAAATTGAGTCGCCCGAATTTTGAACAAATATTTTGTTAGTTAATTGCATATTAATATTCGCCCGTATTTACTCCCATGTAACAAATATTCATTGTATCGGAAATAATACATACATAATGTATATTATTAATTTGATATAAAGCGTTTTCCTATATAGCAGTCGATTGAAAGTTATTTGTTTAAAGTTTATTAAATCGCTATTTAATCCGTTTCACATAATTTTATCGCTGTCTATTATCAACCAGACTAATGATTTTTCACCTGCAACTTCTATCAACAGCAGTCTATATTTATCGCAAGATTGATTCGACCTATGCAAAATGAGGATCGAACTATCTATTAGAAATAATAGCATCAAAGACCTTGTCATTCATAGGTATCGACAGAAATTCCAAGTTATTTTTCGCTCGTTTATAATCGTTTTTTATTTCCTACATCTATTAACTTCATGTAGGTAATGATGTGCGAAATAAAGTAAGCACATATTTTTAAAAATAGCAGATAACTTATGAGTAGGCACTAAAATAAATATTTATAATTGCTAGACTAACATTAATATTGTAAAAAGGGTAGATATTATAACAGTAAATAAGATATGTCTATTTAAATTAACATATGATTACATTGTGATTACATTAAGTATATAAACAAGCATTTCGAATTTGTTTAAAAAATGCACACATTTGGAATCGATCATATAATAATAAACGAACGTTTATTGCAGCTTGTGCTATTAATGGATAGATATTCCATAAGGGTTAACATGCCAATTGAATTTCGTAATTTTTCAATAAGTACGAGAAGTAATTTTTATTCGTAATGTTAAACAAACAAATCGATATTTTACGAGAACATCAGAGTGATAATAGCTGAAACTTCGATAAATATTTTATTACTTTCTATAAATATAAAATGTTCTGCTTTATGAAGTATACTGTTTAGGTTCGTTGTATATTGGATTTATGGGTTAGAAAAAAGAATAAGATGCTCTCGATAATGGTTGAGCTTTAAATAAAGTAATGACTTCAGAATTTCTATTAAACTTGTCTGGGTAGTGCAAAGCGGAAATTACAGGGAATATTAACCCAGAAACGGTTATTTTTAATTTCACCAGATCAAATGGTGGAATTGCCGAGGTGCATCCACCATTTTGTAAAAAATAAATGTAGATATAAAGAGGCGATGGTATTTAAGTTTTAAAAAGAAATATTCAGTAGATATAATGGTAAATGTTTTCACTGACTTTGTACATCTCAATATAACCGTGGTATGGTATAAAGGTTTCTTTGTTCTAAGATGCTTCAAAGATAAACAGACCTAAACTACATGAGCGGCATTCCTACTAAATTACAATAAGTAAATATAAGTTTATTTGCTCGTAACCAACTAACTAAAACCCGTAATTTTATTGCGCAGTTTCAATAGGTTGCATTCGTAATGCATAAGGGCAGGTGAACAACATTAAATTACACCGTCTAACATTACCGCGATATTCATATGTATGAGCATGTGCATTTCCACCAAAAATATTATCTAGAATCCTAATTACCGCTGCTTTTTTAGTTGATAATAATTAAATTAACTAATTAATAATTAAAATTTTAAATTAAATCCAAAAAAAATTTAGAAACTACTACTTAATTAATAATTTCGTTTTGTAATACTAATTTAGAATTTTAATTGTGTGACTTTTCTTGACTGCCCATTTTAGGAACTTGTAACAAACAAATTTTTCCATAAAGTTTTGCAAACATTTGTTTCGCAAGCAGCGCCAGACAGTCATAAAAAGTGAATGGAGTTTCCGCACTTGAAAATTGTGGCTAATTCGCGTCGTGGAAGTAACTTGCAACTGCAATATCAACGACTTTCCGCATAAAAACCGGGCTTCCTATCTACCAGCGAATCGGATTCGTTTAGGAGAATAAAAATCGGATATTTACCGAGAAATCTAATAAGGAAGTTACTTAATTTAAGAGTACAGCAGCGTTACTTTGATGTTGGTTGTAAAGGAAATATATCCAAAGTAAAAAAATATCCACAAAAAGCTGTTTGAATGGATGGGTATAAAGTATATTTAGAAACGTTCACTTAAGTAAATAAGTATAGTAAAACGTATTATCCTTCTTAGTACGCTGTCTTTACTTCATTTCCTTTGCTCAGTAAAATTTGTTGGTAAATTAATATGTATGTACCTTTATACATATAATCAGGTTTTCTTTCGCGAAAGCCTAAGAGTTGTTTTAAGATATTTTGTTCGTAAATAATTAGTATTTGGAAGTTAAGAAAAAAGTTGATGAGAATAAAAATTAATTAGAGTTTATAAAACATCCGGTACAATATTTTTTTACTCTCTATCACATCAGAATTCTATCTACCTAAACATATTACCGGAAAAAGTCGCCGTTTATTTATTAGGTAGGCTTATATTAAATGTTTTATTGCGATAAAAAAAGGAAATTTGTATAATTAATAGTCGTAAATTTAGCGTATTATATTGGATGGAACGAGTTACACATATTATTATGTTCTAAAAATAAAATAATTGGCATACAATTGACTCTAACCCAGGCGAAAATTTCCCTTAAATTTAATTTCGTGGAAAGTTTATTATAGTCACTTACCTAAAGGCATGTAGCACTCATTGTAAAACGTTTCTCCCATTGTGGCACTTAACAATCCCAAAATTGCTTGGGGAAATTCAGTTATTAAAAACAGCAACAGCACAGCAACTAACATCACCGATGTCCTGTCCGCTTGTTTGTCTTTGGTTTTCTGCACTATTATCGCATTGGAATCTTTATTCAGATTGGTCATTTGGATGTTGCGTCCAAGCAGCCTATTTTTCCTGTTCTTTGTTTCCACTAACACCATAATTAGTTTAGTAGACAAAAATGTTAGTAATATACACGGAACAAGTTTAATAACTACTGTGTAAAGCCAGAAGCTCAACTGGGAGTAGAAGTGATTAACGTACTGTATAACATATATTTTGCCGTAGAATATTTCGGTATTTTTAGATTCTGTTAGTTTTATGATTTTGTCGTTAGCATCAATCGTTTGATTGAAGTCTTGTATTGTGTAGGTTTTATATAGAGGAAAACAAATTAACGGGCATAATAAGTAAGTCGAAATGATAACTATAAGAGTTGTCCTCAAATTGCACCAGAACTTCGTGTACGGGGGATTTTTGATGGTAAGCAGCCTCCAAAGCGCCAGGATCACAGTCAAACAACAAGAAATGAAATGGAACAATTGACTAAAAAGCGCGTGGAAAATCATAAAAACCGCCCAACTATAACTAAAATGGCTAATGTACTTCCTCTTCTCTATATTCAAATAATTGTAGTAACTAAACGGAATATATTCGACCATAACTAACAAATCCGCAAGGGCCAGTCCCGTCAGGATCAAATTCGTCGGCGAAGTCATCTCCTTCCTGGTCAACACGCAAATATTCAACACGTTCGCCACCGAACCCAAAACACAAACGAAGACGCTCAGAAGTCCGTGAATTTCCGCGTAACTGTTCTGAAATCCCTCCAAGTCACAGTATTTAGTCGTCGCGTTCATCGTAGGGTTTTTTCGCCTTCGAAACGGTTGCACTTCGCGAGTTTTTGAGGAGTTTGCGAAGTTCACGCGGCTCTCGCATTCGATTCGGCCAACACCATCATACGGGAAGAGCGAGAAGCGTCTGAAACTCGGAAAACCGCGAATGGAGTAAATCTGTCGCGCTTAGGAGTTTGATTTTGGCATACGCAAGCGTCATAGCCGGTATACCAATAAAGATAAGTCGAATAAAAAGGTAATTTAATTGCGTTAACGCAGGTGAACCGTCTATTTACTTATGTCGTCTCCAGGTAGTGGCATTTTCGCAGACTTAATTAAGGTTTTTTTTCTATTCAAAAAGTATAAAAGTTTGTCATTTAAATTTTATGGTTTCTATTTTTTTAAGTATAATGTCACATCAAAGGCATTACAACTAATAGTTACAATGCCTTTGTGCCACAATTGATATTGACATTGAGAAATTGAAGAAAAATATTGAAATTTCTACATTGTAATTATAAACCAGCGCAAAAAATTCATTATTTTTTCATAAATAATAATGGACGATATTTTTGCTATGGCGAAACAGCTTTTTTTATTCTTCCTAATTATTATTAGTACCAATAGTAGTTATAGTCGAGCAGAGAGTTATTAAATATGAATCGATAAAACTCATCACTTTTAGGGTATCGCATATGCCATATGGAATTGTAATCGCTTTTATTCTTGTGTAGAAAGGTAAATTCAGTATAATGAAAATGTTCATTTCATTACCTAATTGAATTATAATTAAATGGAAAAATAGCCAATATACTGGATTATTTTACAAACAAAATTTGGTTTTCTACAAGTATGCAGAAAGTTATTTATTTAACTCGATTATTTCACATCTCTTCCAATGATATTACTCTCAAAATATCTCTTTCCATACATGGTACACAAACTAAACCAATATAACATACTGAAAATATTTATATGATAACGTCGCTGTGGGTTCATTGATAAATTCCATTGCGTACGCGCTATCACAAAAAATTGTTAATTAATTAACGAATTTATTCCAGTAGGTAGCATTTTTTATCTAAACATATTTTTAAGTGCCAATTAGGACATTATTAATTAAGGACATTTTCTACACAAAATTCTCAAAATATCTATTATTGTCTGTGCTATAATAAATAAACTAGAAAATAAAGAGAAGTGTTTTTACCTTTTTTATTTTTAAAAAATAAAAGGAACAAAAGCATTCAATTAAAACGAATAGTTTGACTCTTTGTCAATTTTGTCAATAATTGCACAAACCTCATAATCGTATAAAAACCTCAAGAAATATTGATAGAAAATATAGATAGAAAATACCGAAGAATCTGAAATAATGTCTGGGTTTTTCAAGTACAGAGACAACAAATCGGACGTTAACTTATCGAAGAATCAAGTAACGAAAAAGAAATCCAGAAAAACCGTTAAGAAAGATACAACTTCCGAAGCTTTATCAGTTATTGACGAATTTCAACCCAAAAACAAATTAGACATATTCGAATTCTTTTTTAATAGCTTCATTAACGAAATAATTTTGGTAATTATGGTGCATATTTGGTATACCCACTAAGTCCCTGCTCATTGAATTTTTAGCAACGAGAAGTTGTTATAAAAAGTGTTGATTTGGATGCACAAAGCATCCATTCTTACGCACACGAACGTAAAGAGAAAAAAGATGATGACACTAACACGAAGAGAACATCAATAACAACTATGAACATTTTTGATAGAGCAAAAAGGAGACAATCTGAGGCTCTTAGTTCAAGATCCAGTGTTGGTAATATCCATTTTCACGTATTTGCAACATCCAACCTACCTAATACGAGTTCACATTTATAGCTTCAGGGACTTTTCCTCAGAAACTTTCCATTGGTATTAAACCAAGTTTAGACAAAACGAATTCGGTTAGTTGATATTCTGTAGCTATACTCAAAAGGCAAATATCAAGGTCCATATATTTATTTCCTAAACACATGTTGGTACTTACTTAATATTGAATTTTTATTTAAATAGTATAACTCGGGTGGCGGTGGATTACGCATTGGAATCGCACAAGAACTAGTTACAATTGAAAAAATTACGTTCAAAAACGGAAATTACTACGAGGGTCCTTGCAATGAGTATCTAATGCACGGCAAGGGAGTATTCATTTGGACTGATAAAACTATCTATACTGTAGGTGAATTTTACAAACATTAACTAATAAAATTTTATACTTTAACCTCCACAGGGAGCATTTTCCAATGGCTACATCACCGGAAAAGGAGAATTAATACTTTCTGATTTAAGTAAATACAGGGGAGACGTTGTTCAAGGAATATTCCACGGTATTGGTTATTTCAACCCGGCAGGAAGCCCTTTGTATTACTATGGGGAGTGGAATAATGGCAAAAAGCACGGTAATTTTCTTATTTATTCGTTAATAACTTCTAAATTTTCCTACTTATCGAAATCATTAGGAAAAGGGTGGTTGATGTACGATGCTGATGATTGGTACGAGGGAGACTGGAACAACGACTTGCGACACGGAATCGGCTTTAGGAAATACAAAAACGGAGCTAGATACAAAGGAGAATGGGTGGCAAATAAAAAACACGGCAAAGGAAAGATGCTGCTTCGAAACAACGATGTACATAAGTTGTGCAATGTTCATAAAGCCATTACTAGTGTATCTGTTTCAGTATTACAACGGTGAATGGGTCGATAACATGCCTCACGGTTATGGAAAGTACACTTGGGATATGGAACATAATGATGCATTTTGCTTTCCTATGTATAGTTGGTACAAAGGATCCTGGAAACATGGAAAACGTCATGGAGTTGGTAAGAAGTTATTCAATTAGGTTAAATTCTTTTAATTTACGCGGACGATATTATTAGGGATATTAAATTTTGGTACTGAATGCGGTGCAGAGTACGCCGGTACAATGTGCGAAAATTCGAAGCACGGGCCCGGAGTAATGATTTGCGGTAACGGAATAGTACTTGAAAGTAATCCGTTGTTTTATCACAACAAGCCTGTACACAAAACCTCCCAAATATCATTTAAGGATTTAACAGAGAAATATACAAAAGAGGAACTAGAGTGCAATATTCAGAAGGGTTCTTATTACGAAATATTGAAAATAGTTAATTCGAAGGTAAATACGTATTGAGAAATTAATATGTAACTAATTAGTTTTTGATTATATCGTTTTTTAGATAGCCTGCAGTGAACTTAGCATGGATATATTAGTAAATATAACTAAAAACAGCGCGAAGATTGAACCAGAACAATATGTTAAATTGGTCGATTCGATTTCAGGAAGTAAAAAAGTTTGGTGCCCACTAATCATTCCTATTCACACAATTCCGGAAAATGTCAATTTCGGTTATTTCATTGATATTGTTTTCGACTATAACAAGAAATATTGCGGCTCTATTGAGTGTCCACCTGAACAAGATATTTTACTCTCCAAAATTCACACACCTTTGGTTCCTTTAAGGTTGGTAAGATATTGCCATGAGACTGTTGCAAACCTCTAAGTTTGATTACATAGATCAAGTGCAATAAAATCCACACATTCTTAATTACTGGGATTAAAAAAAGTATGTATGTTGTGGTTAATGCTGTAAATATATTTTTGTTGAAGGTTTAAAAGATCAATAATGAGCTTTAGATTCAGTACGGTAACGTTACCTTCAGAAACTCCCAAATACTCGGTTATAACCGTCGGTCCTCCTAGAACCAAATCATTTACGAGATCGATAATTTCCGATACGAAATCAGAAATAATACATACTGCTGAGGAGAAGCTTCAACTTATGAAAATTAAAGAGGCTGAATTATTCAAAAATATTATTATGGCGAATCGGAGTAAATTGAATCACGTTTATCTAAAGTGAGTGTCATATAAAAAGTATACAATTGCATTAAACATCGTTTTAATAGGTACGCAAATTTCAATCAAGACATCAAGGAAACATTCGAAAACTCCAGAACAGTTATGGTACGCCTGTTTCTTTGGCAGTTATTCAGAGACTCGAAAAACGAAATTGAACTAGCCAAAGTGGATTCCTTGATGTGGGAAAATCCACAATCCTGCCTAAGCACGGAGCACAATCCGTTTGAGCCAATTTACTTCTACCAATTCCTGCAGTACATCATGGGGTGCGCTTGGATCACGTGCTTGAAATACACTCCTCATGGCAAGGGCGCCCCCTTGCCATCGTTAATATTCAAAAATTTCTTGGAGGATTTCTTGGCGACCCCGCGGATTGAATCCGGTAAGAAACTGAACATTGCAGGAACGCATTTGATCGCGTTTGTTAATAGGTACTGCTTTACGCGAGCATTTGCACCTAGCGCCTCTTAAAAAAGTTTACAAGTTGTACTCGAGCGTGAGCGAGCCGATGTCGATAAAAACCTTCTTCAACGCTACTTATCGCCATGAATCCGAAGAGCTGCCTTGTTATGCTGCCGTGCATTCAGGAGAACTTCCGAAACTGATGCGCGGGTGCAACATGGTACCAATGGCGCATGAAATTTATTACGTGAAATGTAAGTAATGATGCAGTGCAAGTACACGCTAAAAAACTTCACTGGCTTTATACGGCGAATCGCATGTAATTTGTTGGTTTTTCCTTTAGTGACAGAGCCACTAAGCGACTATGAAGAGGAACCCAAAATCAAAAACAACGATCAGTTCGCCAGGTCGTTGTTAACTTTCAGAACATTGGGGTGGAACAAAATCGCGGAATTTATAGCGACAGTTTGCCCGGCATCGCAAAGTGCCGATCAGAAGCTGAACATGCACTATAACTTGACGTTTCTGGAATTCTACGAGATATTTATCAAGTGCGCGTTCGAGAAGGGCGAGGAGTTGGTGAAAGGGTTCGAGGAATCCACCAAGTACCAAGATCCTGCGATGTCCATTCTGTCCCCGTCGTTGTTTAGCCAAAAGACGAAGAGCAAGTCTTTGAAAAAGAACAAATCGAAAAAATCGACTGTTAAAGTTACTAAATCGCTTAAATTCAAAAAGAAATAAAAATATTAAAATGGATTAAAAATTCCTTACGTATACAGTTAGTAAATTTGTACGCAATGTGGTCTATGGGCGGAGACAAGTTTAATTTAAAAAAAAAGTCTCAAAAAAAGGAATATTGTTGCATTGTAACTTTCCTGCTTTAACCACTATTATTATACTAATCTTTCTTTGTTCAACTCATAGAATTGACTATATGGCAAACAAATTTGCACTTGCCGATGTAAATTTAAACCACTTGAGGATAGGAAAGTTTGTGTTAGTAGTGCAACGCAAAAATATTATGCATAAATTAATTAAGACGCTAATGAAAGTTACCAGAAAATTGGTAACAATGTTTCAGAAATATATCCATAAAAATATCAAGGAATTATGTTTATGTGTTTATTTTTGTTTCCAGCTCTGAGCTGGCATAAGAATAAAATTGTTCCGTTGTGGAAAAACAAATATTAATTCCGTGGAGGAACATGAACATATTCTATTACCAACTTTATACACAGTAAATCCAATTTTCCGCGGAATACGATGCACGGATAGCATGTTAATGAAGCGTTCGCAGCTCCCATATAAATGGATATAGAAATATCTTCCGAAGTCCATTTGATATTGCGCATTATTACTGATTCGCAATAAACATGGTTTAAAAATACAACAATAAATATAAAATCACTATATTTCTAGATTATATAAACTCAACACTACATAATATATATAGTTTTAGATAAGATACATAAATAATATTATAAACATGAAAAATATGACTACAATCAAAATATATTAAAAATTAACAAATAAAAATGCTTAGGTAATAATTAGTTACTGTAATCGACTCTACTTAGGCGAATGCACTATATAAATATTTTGATCATTATTTATTAGTGCTTTATTAATCTATGAAATAGAATTTCCAACATTGTAATATATATTAACTATATATTAAAGTTTTTTTCTAAATATTGGTTCGGAGTAACTACCAGGCTTTCATTTGAAGCGAACATAATCTTTAGAACATATTTTAACCTGCACGTGAAATCTCAATTAATTATGTTTAATCTTGAAACGCAAATCCAATAAATAATTTTTCCGAAACAAAAAACGTGCCAAGTTAAAATATCACTCAAACAAACTAAATATACGAAATTTAAAACGTGTAAAATCTAATGAAAACATAGGTTAAATGCAATACAAAGTGAATGGTTAATATACGAGTACGAATGCTGATTTGGTAAATTCGAGCTTTTAGAAAGTACATACGATGAAAACTCGCATTTTTCATCGAAAAGCTGCCTCACATTTAATTAATTGACTCTCTATAATATAACCAATTAATTCCAGAGTTTTAGGTCAAAGGTAACAAACTTTATTAATATTTTCTTGATTTCAAAAATAGCTTTTAATGCACGATTCTCTGGAATCTCTTTGATGCTCAGGAATCTCCACAAACGTCACCAACATTACATACATAAATATATAAAAATTTGTTACCTTTGACACTGAACCCTTACATAAATTATAGTCATTTTACAGATTACATTTCAGTAAAATGCGAGGCTTCTTCGCTGTACGCGATTTTCAAAAAAGGTGGTGTCATGTTTAAATATTTCCGTTGGGGGTATGGTTTCCGTTTCCGTTCAGTAAAGGAGTGGCGTTGCCGTTTTGAATAGGGGTAGACGTTCCATTTGAGAATCCATTCGTTATTGGCTTCGTGGGGGTTGTGACTATGGTGTAAGTTTCGCCTGTGACTGGGTTGCGTTCTGAAACATGCAGATAATTAATTAGGAGGGCCCAAACAGTGCATTACATTATTAGATTAGGATCTGTTTTCGTCAGAACGAGCGAAATAAGTGAATAATATTTAATTACTCACACACCGCGCCTTCTCGAATTGTTTTTTACTAATACCATATGTGGGAATTGGGTTGCATAAGTTAGAAATGCATAGTTATGATTGACATTTACAATTTTTAACAGAATTTTGAGCTTACCGGTATATATTTTTGGTGTTTTGGTAACTTTGCAGTCCCAAGACATGACTCCATTGCCGGTAACAGGATTGCGGTTGTTTACATCTAAAAAATACAGCCTCCAGTTAAAATCAATACATTTTTAATAATATCAATGGGTGATTTATGAGCATTTGGATGAACCAAAAAATTAAGTTATATAGGAAGCATTACAAAGTATAATAAGTGAGATAGCTAAAGAATACTGGACTTAGTTGGTAAATGTAATTAAATATACAAAGAGGTAAAACATGGGGAGCGATTCATTGGGCTAAATTTAGCCAATAAACCCACCTTGTTTGGTAAGTGAACCTCGTCTTGGTTGCGGTCTCTTGCCGTCGGGAGTGCCGAACAACTTGGTGAAGGAGTCACTGTTGCGGGAGCCTCTTCTAGGCGAGCAGTGACCGTTCAATTTGGGCGACGATTCTGTCGGGCTGCGAAGCACTTGGAAGATTTCGCTGCTCGGATTGCGAACCCTGTGAAAACAAAATCGCGATATCACAATCGTGAAAGTTATTATCCCAATTAATTTTTTTTGAAGGCAGACGTTCTCTGCGGAAGGTATATTTTTTGTGGTTTGTTCGAATCTAAGCGTGACAGTCGACTTTCAAATGAAACAAACGTCGCACGTTTAGTTCGAATATAGCGCAAAAACAAACTATAATGCATAAGAAAAGGTATAATGTCGCCATCTGGACATGCAAAAATGCGGTGCATTCCGATACTTATTATAGCTATTTATTTTCTTGCTCCTTTTGCCGTGAAATGCTTAATAACTGAACGGTTTCACGTTTTCTAAGTCCAGTTTCTCAATGAGGAACAATAATTGCCACCTTCTCTTCGAGTAAACAGAACTTTCTTATTTATCAATGAAAAAACCGACTCGAAGGACCATTTGTTCACTTTTTATTTCTCATATACAGCATTTTTGCGGTAGCTGTTTATTATAACTTTTAGTTATCAAAAATGAATCGAAAGGTCTTGAAAATACCTACTGCCCTATGTCCACAAATACATGGTAATCGCCCTGTAAATGACGCATGAAAACCCGGTTTGTTTCATTTAGTCCTGTGTCTGGACATTATCGATCCCAAATTTCAAACGTCCAGGAGCATTATTAACAGAGATTTCATAAAAAATGCACTCTACAGTTTTTACAAAAGATATCGAAAAAATTAAAAATATGGTACATTTTTGGCATATGGTGATATAATCAAAGTCTAGTAAAAACGGGTCACAAAAATTAAAAATAGTACTTTCCATCTAAACTTACTCCAAAATTTTCAGATTGTTAACTCTTCAGGAACTCATAAGTTCTAATGAACAGCTCTCGTGACAAACCCTGTATAGGTATAATAAATATTGTCATTAAATGACCGCTCGTACACGGCACTGTCATTAGATTCATTAATTCGATTTTTTAAAACAACAATTTTCCGTTGAAGAATGCATATCTCCTGCTTGTTGCGACAATTACATTTCAGTGTAATCCAAGTGTAACAATTCTTGTTTTTCGTAATATACTCGAGACAAAAACCACGGGGTACCTAATGCATGTATCCTGTTACAACATTTTATTTCGATGAAAGCACCTTACTGTGCAAGCGGTATATTTTAAATCCAATACCTGGAGTATTCAATATACATATTTAAAAGGAATTCCTCAAAAGGAAGTGTACTCAAATGCAGATTGATTTAGGTGCACTTGACAAATTATTAAGAGGTAATTACTAAAAATAGGGCACTCTACAGTTTGTTTTTCTTATATCCGCTGATTAATAATATCTAAAGGCTTTGTTTTAAAGGCTCTGGTTATTATTTATGAGTAAGCCGTTCATCGTCTCGCGTTCTTCACTCTCCGCTTCCTCTTCATTCATACTCGCAATTAGTGACGACGAGTAAGTACTCAGATACCCTTTGAGGAAAACTAGATCTCGGCGAGCGCAAGAGCGGCATAAATTAGCTTCTTTAACAATTCAGTAATCACGACGTTGGTAAGTACGGGCTACTCGTCGGCTAATCAGGATAATTATTGCTATCGGTGTCGGTATGAGTTTGAGCGCCTTGCTCGGACGATCTTTTGAATTTCGTTTGGTCATTAATCATCGGATGATTCTATTTCCTGCTAGTAGCTGTTTGTGGGCAATGGTAGAATTTTTAAATACTACGTAAGTAGAGTTTTATTATTGAGAATCTAAAAGACACAAACCTAGATAACAGTAGTTAACATTGGATTTTAAAGGGAGCACTTGGTTTAAGATTTTTTTGTAGTTATTAATGCGAGTTTATCTCCCACAAATCGGCGACTGACGTCTTTTAAATGGTATATGGGCCGATAAATAATAATAATTGCGGCCTTATGTCGACCACCGACGATAAACTAATCGATATGCACCCATACATATGTAATTTCGCCGATATATCGCGGCCATTACTTTAATTGCCATCGATTTAACGGATTTGACACTGAGAGTTCGGTCGTAAATTCACCTGGTGCATTTGCATTCTTTTTAAGAACCGTTCGCTTATAATAAATTATTATTTGAGGTTTAAATAGAAGAATTGTGAGAAGTTGGAGTAACAGAATTTACTTACAAATTTGCAAAATCTGTACTTTATGTTAAAGAAGAAAATTGTTAAATATTTGCAGGACTATAAAATATTTATGACAATTTACTCATTAAATTTCAATAAAACAGTAAGTAAAAGGATCTAGTTTCAATCTATTACTGCGCCTCTCCTACATTGTTTATCAGCAAGGTGAATGAAACTACATATTTCATAGAACCGTTTAAAATGCCTTAGTTAATTTTACCTGATTATGATTAATAGTAATTTTGTAATAGCGAATAAATGCCCAGACGACCATTAATTTCTTATAATCTGATCTTTTAGTAACGTTCTTTTGTTTATCGTTTGCTAATTTCCCCATAATTCGTGGCTAATTGCATGTGAAAGTTTAATCTGCTCTAAAATACATAGGAAACAAGTTTTTTTTTCTAATAGGTAGAATACGGGTGAGCGATTGTACGGTATTAGGGCTCGGCTTTTCGCAGATTTTTATTGCCATATTTTTTAATTGTACGATTATGTAGATTGTTATATTAGCGTTACTAATTATATTACCTACTACATATCTTCTAGTATACAGTATGGCCAAATAATAATAAACTTTTTTATGCTACTTTTGAATGAATTGATATAAAAATAATTGTAGGTAATTTCCTCAAAATTAGATAAAAGAAAGATATAAAGTATGGCGCCTTTATTTAAATTACCTAGATATAAATGATTCAATTTGTTTCGTGTTGCATTCGCATTTTGTTCGAAAAGCATCCGTTAAAATTTATTGCGGGTTTTTATCGCCTTTTCACTGTGTTCCGGAGCGATTGTGCAAGAAAGTTGCCGAATAATTAACTGCTTATTTTTAGAAAATTATTTTAGTATATTAGGTTAATAAACCTGCCTGCTGTAAATACGAACAGATGGAACTGATTTATTAGACATATCGAAATAATATAAAACGTATAATTACAAAACCATCACCATCGAGTCTCTTGTAGCAGAATACTTTTGATTTCTTCCAGCAGTGGATACGCAATTCAGAATTTACTGAAGTGTATGGAGAAGCACGTCTATTCCGCCCGTAATTACATGTATTATACTAAATTACAAGCGGGAGCATATTCGCTACGTGCGATTAAAAAAAAGAGCGTGCACACATCGAAAGATGTTGTTCAGAGGCCGTTGACCATCGAGTCTATAACAACCGTACAAGTGCAATAGTCGTCTAATATTTTAATGCCGGCTCGTCTGCGAATCGAGCATGATTACGTAAGGTTTCCTGGATACGCTTAATGGGATTATTGAAATTCAAAATACTCTACTGAATATAATACCTAAGCGTAATGGAGAACTGGTGAAGAAGTGCGCGTGCAAGAATCGGCATCTATTAGATTTATTTAGCGAAATATTTTCGCATTACGATTAAATTAATTAAAATAGGTGGCATAAGAAGCGAACACCGAGGAGCTATGCATCATTGAGCACACGCCAAAATCGATATCGTTAGCATATTTGCAACACTCCAATGCACCGGAAGGATTAATTATAATTATTTTCGAGGCGACGTTGATTCGCTCAATACACGCCTTGTTCTGCGAGCAAGGACGAAGGTGTTAAGGAAACTGTAATTATGCCACAATATCAAAATCACAGGCTTATTGAAAATGTAATTCCCTCTATAGAGACTAATGCAGTATTATAGGTGCTTATTTGAGGGGTTTATATCAAACTCTCATAGGTCGCCTTAGGAGGCGATTAATCATAGTTTTAGTTATAGTTTGGAATTAAATAAAAGAAATGAGGAAGGGTCAATGGAATAAAAGCCGTCGCTGTGATTATATTGTAGAAATTACAGTCAAGAACCGTATCGAAAATAAATATGGGAGGATCGGGACATGCGTCGCTGGCTCGCCAGGGAAAAGAGGATATCGGTTGTTAAAAGTTTCCGGTCTCGATCGCAAAATCGTCGGACATTAAGCGAGGACCGTGCAGGAACATTCTTATAATACTTTACTGGTAGAGTTGAACTTATAGTATTTCTAAACTTAGTTGAATGTGTTATAAATAAGTAACTATAATAAAAGAGCTCACATTTACATAAATACGAGTAGGTATACTTTATTGTTTACAAACCAAACAAAATCAAGGGGACTATGACTTGAAGTAGTGAAAAATATTTTTTCTGTCTGAGAGGTGAAGAAATATAACAAATTTCATAAGAAAAAGCATTATTGACTAGTATAGAAATGCATGGTTTGAATTAAATCAAACATTCAGAAAATTAGAAAGTATAGGTAGGTACCTACGTGAAAATAAAAGATCGTTTTATTTTTAACAAAATTGCGTAATAAATCGTTAGATTATAATCGTTATTTTTCGTTTATAATTTATAATTTACTTTCATAAATCTACGTTATTAATAACTTAGTTTACCTACCTACTTTATATCTAAACAAATCGATAATTCAACTTACAAATTTGCCGATTCGAGATAGTTTTTAGCGCGAATTACCTTGGAGGAGAGATATTAAAAGGTGTATTTTAGTGGCTCGCTTACCTGGAACAAATCGAAAAAATATATTAGCACAAAAAATCATTTATAGACTTACACAAGTTTAATCACTACAGTTATGTAGGTTAATATAAGTTGTATAATTGTATTGAATTATCCTGGTTAATTAAAGACCATGAAATGAAATTATAAAAACTTATAGGCAATTAATTAGGATAGGTAAGGTACATAGTATACCTACACTTGAAGGCTATTGAAAACTAAATATTCTAAATATAAATTTAAAGGTATGAGTGGTAGCAAACAGGAGATCTATTCGTTTAAAAGCAACAATAAAAAACAACAAATATTAGACAAATTTAAGATATAATAAAGGCTGTAACAACAAAGAACCACAAA